CAATTAATCTGTCGCATGTGCATCCTTGTCTATGGGCGCGTGTGGGTCTGTGTGACATTTTGCGAAAAGGCGAAATGGCAAAAATCTGATAACATCTTGACACCGTCGCCAAGTCGTCAATTCAGCGATTACACAGTAGAAAATGAAACCGATTTTATATCTTTACTATTCGGGCTTATAGAACAGAACTATAGGACAGTATATTTAAGCCAATTATAGACTATATTAATTTTAACACCTTTAAAAAAGACATCAGCAATTGAACTTCGAAATTTTGATAAAAAATATTTTACCTTGTAAATACAATCTTATCTTTTCTCACCGTGTAATTAACACACAAAGAAGGTGCGAGACGAGACGAAAAGACAAAGAGTGGTTGGGGGGGAAAAGTAGGCGAAAGCGAGATAGCATTACAAAAACAACAACAAAATTAATGTTGCAAGGCAAATGAAAAAAGACAAATGGGCAAAGGCAAGCCACACGTGAATAATAATTGAAAAGTAAAAAAGAGAAAAAATTGTAAACCGCATATGGAGGAAATATGGAGAAACGAGGTGGAAAAAGCGGAAGGGGGCGAAGATAATGAACATGTAGGCAAGGTAATGAACAGAGATTGAATGAAATGAATGACTGGAGAAGATGAAACCTGAAATGTGTGCATGGAAAACTAAATAGAAATTTGAATAAAATGTATAGCATTGGATAGGATGAGATATTGCATTACATCAATGGGATTGGCTTTTAAGTACAGGGAACACTTGTTAATAAAGATTATTATGAAAACCATTTGTAGAAATTTGTTTGTAATCATTTTTAATAATATTAAAATGAAAACTCTACAAAAAATACAAACATATATCCGAAGTAAATTAAATAAAATATTAGTTCATTCATTCCATAAAGTAAACTTCTGAACTTAAATAGAAACCATCCATCAATAGACCCATATTGAACATGGCATCAGCCGTAGCCAGAATATTGTACATGCAATTGCCTTTAGCCATTACCAAGTTCAGGGAAGTGGCAATGTTTAGGTAGTCAGATCCAGAGAATCGAACGGAAAACCCAATATCATCGACTGAACTGAACCTTATCGCTGTCTGCCGCCGTCTGGCAGTGAGTATCGATATTCCGAGAAATCCAAGAAAATAAACACAAACAGCAGGCCAACACAGTACAAGTGGAAGGGGGAGGTAAAGATACATATAGAGGGTCAAAGGATGGTTAAGTTGGAGGGGTTTGACACCTCTTGCAGGTGAGGATGCTATGAAATTGCTATCCTTTTGCAACTTTCTAGCTATACACAGTAATTAATTTTTAATACTCTTTTTATATAGTTGTTTCAAATACATATTTGCCCTTTCTAAGCCTTTTTAAGATTTCTTCAAAAATCTAAAAAAATATTTTCAATCAAAAGGTATTCATATCAAAGGGGTTACATTTCTCTCTGTGTATCCTAGACTTGGCATTAATGCTAATTAATCCGAAATTTGTAAATGAGCCCAGGATGAGGGGGAATGTGTTGTGGTGGCACTTGCAACAATCACAGGACATTAAACTGGCTCCCGTCTCCTCTTCATATCGCTCTTCAGACGACATCTCTCTCTTGCTGGCTCTGAGCCACTCATCAATTTTCTGCGCACGTTCTGAAAATGTTTTTGGCGACTGGCGAAGGAGCTGAGGGTTGAGTTGAGGATAACCACGAATACCAATTTTGGCAAAAACAAGTGACAAACACCAAAAACAGGACACACAAGATGGACGGAATGGTGAAAACAGGATTATTGGATGGACACAGAAGGAGAACGGGGAACGGGAAACGGGAAACTCCGCAAGCGGAAGGGGCAAAAGGCCATCGCACTATTTATGGGTGTGTGTCATCTGTTGTGTGTGTGTTGCGTATGTGTGTAGAAATTTTTCGGGCCAATAAGTCACACACCAATAAAAACAAACAAACTGGCAAACGGACAAACAACAAACCAGCAGGCAGGAAAACAAACAAACAAACAGGGAATCCAAGCAGTGAAAGAGGCAAACACAGTTGCAAAATTGGCAACAGCCGGATGCTTTTGTTGGCTACTACCGTACCGTCGTCGATGGCCAAGATCATCGTGACCAGAAGCCACCGCCGTCGCGCACCGCCAATGTATCACAAAACTGGCCCAGAACCCAGACCCAAAATCAGACACGCAACCAGTGATGAGGCCCGAGGAAATGCAACTAAGAATGTATTTGAAAAAGCAACACCTTGAGAAAACATAAATTAAATATTTTATTTTTGAGCTTGGAAATAAATTCAAACAGAAACTTCAATTATCTCGTACGTACCATGAAATAAATTATTTTATCTATTTGCTCATGCTGTATTTAATGGGCTCATAAACCATTAATCATTAATAATTACTCATCCCTCCAAGATAATCTGAAGAGATGTGAATTCGCATTCATAAAGACCCTCTCATAAATAAAAAAAAATATAATCTGATAATAATTTTCAGAAATGTATTTATTCTTAAATAATATCAATCCTTTTTCTGAGGTAATAATTGCCTTTAGAAGCCATTAGATAGATATTTTTAAATTCACATGGCAAAAGTGTTTTTTAAAAACGATAATGTTCAACTAATTACTAAATGGTTCAGTGTTTTTGAAAATCTATTTCTTAGTTTGTCCCACAAATAAAATAATTAATAGTAAATCGAGTGTTAAGCAATTAAATGAAGCTTTCAAAGAGAGGCATTCGTAGGAGATTGATTCATCTGTGCGGCTCTAAAGTGCATTCCCTCCTTAACAATTGCATCTGTGTTTCTCTGGCGGCACTCATCTCTCATCGCTAATGGGGATCGACTTGGACTTGGAGTTGGAACTGACAACATCGATGCAACTTGGACCCGATGACCAATTTCAGATTGTCAGCCTTATTTGAGCAGCAGCCGGCCGCCTTGTCTATTTCAGAGTGTGTGCGTTTATTTTGCTGCCATATTTATGCGTTCGCAATGCAGACGTTTTTAATGTCTTTCCTTCGAGAGGGAACAGACTGCAGACTGGTGCCAGCAGACTCATCGAGACGTCAAGACCTCCTCTTCATTATCCGCCAGCCACAAATTGCATCCAGTGCAATGCCTTGGAGATTTCATTGTTTCCTTCACATATACCGAACATACATACATATATATCGATTGAGTTTAAACCCTCTCATCCCTCTTCATCACTGTGTATATGTTTCTGTGTATATGTTTCTGCCTCTGTGCTGCCGAATTTTGCATAATAAGTGCAACAGCAACATGGACAACCCACAGACCGCAAAAACAACTTAACTGAACAAGAAATCGAACCGAGGCAGGCACAGGCCCTCAAGGTGGGAAAACTGAACCGAACTGAAAATTGGGTGAAGGAAGTTCGGTTTACCGATTGAATCTGTCTCGATTTAATTGGGGAGTTACAATGAGAAGTGGGGTTCCGCAATAAGACTTCTAAATTGCATCTACCTTAGCATCAATTGATGGCTTTGAAATTGATTTATCCAGTAACGAATTTCTAAACCAAGGCAAAATAATAGTTTTAGTTAAGATTAAATACAATCAAAGAGAATTTAGTATTAGTTGTTCTGCCTCAAAACTATTTGCTTAATTCAGAAGTTGCACAAATTGAATTAAATTTAATCCAAGGTATGAATTTGGTTAGGCTATCCAGTGGTCTTTATTTTGCTTAACTCATTATAATAAACTAAGGCCATTAAAATCCAGTCATACTTTTAGTAAGCAACAGCGATAAGATTATAACAAAAATAAGTCATTATTTTGGTAATAAAAATATACACACAAAAGCTTTTAATGATTTTAATGTATACTAAAAATGTAAAAAATACAAGTCTAGTAAGAGAGATTATATTTAAATGACCTTATAAATAAGTAAAAATTGTCTACGAGATTTACGACTTCTTAGAAGAAATAGCTAAATTTTTTAAGGGGTTATATACAGTTGTGATAGTCGAAAAAATCGATTTTTTTTTATTGCATATTCTTAAAGTATATACTGTTGAGAATACTCTTACAAAAATTCATAACGATCGGAGCATTAGAACCGAAGTTGTAGCTATTTATAGCGCACGACCTGCACGTCGGCCGGAACAAACTTGAAACTTTAAACGCGATTATCTCAGAATAGTTTTTTTTCGAAGTTACCTTTGCGGTGGACACGATTACTAAAAAACTATTAATCCGATCAACACCAAATTTTGACCACTTATTTATTATCTCAAAAACTAGTCCGTGAACGAAGGATTTTCAATTTTTTTGAAAACTTCCTTTTTAGAGCATAAAAACAGAAAATTTTACCCCTTAAAAAGGACATTTTTTGTTAAAATCGTCGCCATTTTTTTTTTAATCAAAATTTTTAAAAATCCTTCGTTCACGGACTAGATAATTCAATATACTAACGAAATGTTTTTGAATTTTTGATTTCTGATGAACCGTTCTCGGGATATGATGTCCACCGCAAGTCACTATCGGAAAAAGAGGGTATTTGAATTCGGCCATAACTTTTTTATTAGTTAATATTTTTTTATAAAAAAAATTTTAATAAGTACCCAGAAAGATGTACTAAACAACGCCGGTAAAACATTTTTAATAAATATTCTTTATGGTGTCAAAAAAAAATCGACAAAACTTCATATTTTTGCGCGGTACAACTGTATATAACCCCTTAAAAGCCATAAATGGGAATAATCTGAAATTTGCAGGGGACATTGACTACAAAGGAAACTTCAAATTCATATAATGTAGGTAACTTTACTATAAATCAATGAAAACTGTTAAATAAAAAAGAGCCGTTTAACTACGAAAACGAACCTAAGGGTATCGGAAAATCTCAATATCTTTGGGGAGTATTTGGGAATTTGTTTACAGAAAGTGAATCCGCCAATACAAACTCCTTATAATAAACAATTATCCCATGAAGTTAGTTAGGTAGAAGCTAGTTATTAAAAAAAAAAAACTCACCTGATCTTGGGCTTGGGTGGTGGCCACCAGAATTCCGATTAGCAGGGCGCTGAGCATTACGAATTTACCGTTGACCGGAAACATCGGCTCCATTGAAATCTTTTGCTTTGGCTTCATTTTCCTCTTTGAATATTTTCTCGGTGATGCTGCTGCTGTTGTCAATGGATTTCCAGTTTAGTTTATTGATTTCGAATATAAAAGATAGAACACATATAAAGCTATTTTATACGTTATAAATTCTCTTTTAACGAGCTCTTTAGAACTGGTTTAACACTAGAAAAATGCTGTTTGGAAACACATTATAATTATTTACGATTATTTATTTGCCAGACACTATTTTGATAAAAGACACTCGCGATTATTGCCGATTTATCAATTGAATTCCAAGAGAGAGAGAGAGAGAGCGGCGGTAGGCAGAGTGATAGCGAAACAGAGAGGGACTGACTGGGTATTAATTAAACATTACACACTGTAAAATTAACAACAATTTATCGAATGCGCGCGCGGCTAAAATCAAAGAAAGAGGAAACAACAGAGGGGGAATAAACAAAACGTTTACGCAGAGAGAACGCACGAAAAAAGAGACAAGAGAATCAAAATTGGCTGTGTGTGTGTGCGTGTATGAAGTTGTTAACTTGTGTGGGTGGTTTTTTTTTCGTCTTTTAGCAGACAAATCAAATTACTTTAGCTAATTCCAATACTTGATATAATTGCCTTGTTGTGTTCTTTATTTTGTTTCTGGTTTGCTCCTATAATTGTGAGATTTTACAATGGAGGAAACGAAGAAAAAATAAAATAACAACCGCCCACCACTACAACCACACTATACGCTCTCCCACTCTGTCCAAACTCGCTCTCGCTCCGTCTCTGTCTCTCTTTCTCTCTCGCACACATGCGGCTATTGCGGCTTCTTTATGTGCCTTTTTCTCCGCTTCTACTTCTTCTCCTACGCCAGCCCGTTGTTTTGCTGCGTTTTCTTTATTTATTTTGGCAATTTTGCGCACCTTTTATTTGTATTTACAAATTGCACACACGTTGTTTTTTTTGTAACACCGAATGGCGAGACACACACGAAATCCCGCAAAAATCCGGACGTGCCCGTGCTGTTTCGTTCCGTAAAAATTTTTTTGGAAAAAAAATTTGTGTCCGCACTTGTATTTATAGGTTTACCAGCAGCAGTGATGTTATTCCCGATTTTTTCCCGTCAAATTTGGCGGGAAATTTTTCGGCCAAAGAGAGAGAATTTACAGAGAGTTTTCAGAATATGGGGATGAACAGCAGCGTTGCCAATTTAGCATTTTGCCCGCTAGATCTAGCGGTTTTCAAAAGAGAAATGCGGTATTAGGTGAAACTGGCAGCTAGCGGGAATAATATCTTTTTTACAAGCTAAATTAATGCTTTTTTTTTAGATTTTTTTAAAACAATTGGCCATTGGGAATGGGCTTTCCTTAAATAATTTATTTTTTCCATTTGAAAGACAAAAAACGTCAAATTTTTTTGTATGGACGTTCTTTTAAGAGTTGGCAACACTGATGTACAGTTGAGAGTAACAGAATTGTGCTAATGAAATGTTAAAGAATGAGAGTAACAGAATTTCGAATGAGAGAGGAGGGTACTACAGAGCAACTCAGGAGCAGTGGTGCAGGTTTAGCATATTTCAGGCTAGAAACTACTATTTTTTAGCTTAAAACATTAAACATTTTGGTTTATATGTTGTGAGCTCAAAAAATTTATGAATTTTATTCAAATATTTAAATATTTCATAGTAACAAAACTACAAGAAGTATTATATTTTTATTTTCATCTTTCTGCATCTCGGAAAATGTCGCAAATCCCTAACGCCAGAGTGGGGGGAATACCAGAAAAATACTGCGAAGAAACAATGCGATTTCCAACACTGGCGGATCTGACTACACTTGTTTTCTCTTAAGAGTTTTTCACAGATTTTCCGGCTTTTCTTGTACAAATTAAGTTATTTTTAACAGGATTACAGTTTTCCCTACGGAGTAGAAACTTCCCGTTGGTCGAGAGAGGCCAGTGCACTTTTCGAGGCGTTATGGTACATCGCTCGGGGGAAGCGCTGGGCACACTCATACGCCTTCTTAAGGTGAGTTTGTTTTTCCCTTTTTCTTTTCTTTTTTCTCTTTTTGCGTTGTGAAAATTTGTGCAAATTATTGGTGTTATTGGCTAACGTCTTCAGGCCGATTTCCGGATTTGATGGCCATGGATTTGGTGGACATAGACCAGGTTCTGGACAATCTGGAATTACGCATCGCTGCCGACGAGCAATTGAGCAGGAATGCAGCTGCAGCGGCGATATCCGGAGCTGCAGGTCGTCATTTGGGCGATGGAGCAAGTGCAGGTGCACCAGGAGGACCGCCTGCCGCAGTGGCAGCAGCAGGAACAGGAGGAGGATCAGGAAAACCACAAGGATTATCAGGATCAGCAGGAGACGCAGGAGTACAACCCATTCCCGTGGCCAACCCACAAGTTCACCCAGCAGGATCAATAAATTCAGGACCTCCTGCAGCTCCCACATCTGCCAAGAGCTTTGTGGGCGTCTCGCAGGTCTTCAACAGCCTGGACGATTATCGAAACAATGTGAAATCGCTGGAGGTGGACGCCCAGCTGCCCAGCTACGATTGGCAAACGGAGCCGGAGCACGAGGATGACCTGAACAAGTTCAGCGAGGAGCCACGCAATAAGATCCTTGGCGAAACCACTGCCTCCTCTTCCGAATCGCTGACCACTTCGTCCTGCTCCACCTTCTCCTCGGGCCCGTCGCCCGTCAGCAATGGCAGTCACTCCGAGGAGCTTACAACGCCGCCGGAGAGCGATAAGCAAAGTGCTTTGCAGGTTCTACCACCAAACGAAGTCAAGGAGGAAGTCAAAGAGGAGGATAACCACAAAGAACAGGTGACTGAGCATCAGCAGCAGGAGATTCAGGAGCAGGAGCTGGCCACGCCAAATATGGAGGACCTGGCCGTGGGTCTATCATCCATTTCAATCACTGCATCCGTCACAGAATCCCAGTCCATGCTGCCTGGCGAGGTTACCGCCTCCTCTGTGTTGGGTCAAGTGCTGCAGGAGCTCTCTGAAGAGTCGTCGTCCACCAGAGAACCCGAAACGGAGATGACCAATGGCATAGAAGCGCCTGCTCCCATGGCAGTAAGTATTTGCAGAAAGAAATTATGAAGAAACCCATTAAAACCCCCTAATCCTTCTTCAGGCCACCGCTGTCCCTAAGTTACCTCCGCCGCAAAGGAAGGAGCAGGAGCTGCCGCTCCAGCAACATCAACCAGACCTCGATGACGACGATGAAGACCCACAGCAACAGCCAAGGCGCAGCCAACCGCTGACCTTCTGCTCCACCATGGACGAGATCTCTGACACCGAGTTGGACAGCATGCTGCAGGAAATGGATGCGGATGATAACCAGGATGGAGGCGATCAGGAAATGCCCGAGGATGAAGAGAAATCTGCAACAGCTTCGCCAGTAACCGAGGAAGAGTCGGTGCGCATTCTGTCCGACGAACAGGAGACCACCTCCAACGATCAGATGAACGTGGACAACTTTTCGCAGGCCTCCACGGTGGAATTTGCCGATCTAAAGCCGCAGGAAGCCACACCAGTGACAGCAATGGGCGAGGATATAGCCTCCAGCTTCGACAGCACCGAATCCGACTCTCTTTCGGGACGAAAACTCGACGAAGAGGAGGAACAGGAGGTGGACAAAGAGCAGGAGGATGCCAGTCTGGCTACCGATGCCCTGGAAACCCAAGAGCAGCGTCCGCAGCGACCTCAAACCCTCGACTTAAATGGTTGCCAGGCAGGAAGCCTGACGCCCTCACAGGAGGAGACACCCGATAATCAGGAGGATCGTCAGCTGGCGGAGGGAGCTGAGGGTGCAGGAGCTGTGCCTGAAGCAGGCATAGTACCCGGCGAGGATGACGAGGAGAGTCCCATTTACGAGGCCGTGGGCTATAGTGATCCACATGCCAACCTGGGCAAGGTGCCGCCCATTTGGGTGCCAGACAATATGGCCGGCCAGTGCATGCAGTGCCAGCAAAAGTTCACCATGATCAAGCGACGTCACCATTGCCGAGCCTGCGGCAAGGTTCTGTGCTCCGTCTGCTGTTCGCAGCGATTCCATCTGGAGTTTGCTAACGAGCCGGAGTCTCGCGTTTGCGTCCAGTGCTACATGATTCTCTCCGAGCGCCAGGCCACTGGATCAAGTTCGGGTATAGCCCCAGGCTCTGCACTGCCGCCCACGCCCATGCGCTCGCCGAATCCCAATAATCCCATGGAATACTGCTCCACAATACCGCCCCATCGTCAGGTGGCCTCGACACCCGGTGCTCCGCCGCCCAGCGTAATTGTGCCCGTGGGTGTGCTGAAAAAGACCGATGGCAGTTCCTCCAATTCATCCAGTTCGGATGGGAAGAAGGGTACCCGCAAGCGGAAGAGCGTCATGTTCAGCGATGGCATAGCACCGGGCAGCGAACTCGCCAGCACCATGGAGCAGCAGTGGGGCGAGGCCAAACAGGCGAGACGAGGTCTCTCCAGAAGCAACTCGGGTGCAGGATCTAATCCAAAGCCACCCACGCCGGCTACAGAGGAGCCACCAACACGCAGTATTGACACCAGCTCAACCTTGGGCATGGTGGCGCAACTATTCCGCGGTTCCATACCGCCAAGTGCAGCAGCGGCCACACTGGCGGCCACCGAAACCTCAAGTGGTATGGTTGTTTATAGATTTTGTGTGAAACTTTTATTCATTTGTTTGGTTTTTTTCTTTATGGCCAGTTAACCGCTCTTCAAACCAAGCTCAGACCTCGCCGCGTCGCAAAGCGGAACCTGCACGCAATCGTAAATTGCCACCCAATGCGGATTCTCAAGGTTGTTACCTGCCCGCCGAGGAGAATGGCCTGCCACCTATTTGTCTAAGCAAAGAGGGTGGCGAGGTGGACTACAAGGTGGTGCGAAATGATGCCTCACTCCTGGAGAGATTGCAAAACGAAACGCTCAAGTTTATTGTAAAGAACAACTTTTTTGTGCTGGTCAAGGTTGTGAACAGTGAGTATCATTTAGGGAGTCCCTAAAAGAGATTTTCTGCTAACCCAAAACCCATCCCTAGTGAGCTGCTGCATGAATCGCTGGGTGTTGAACTTCACCACCTCAGGACTGCATCACATGGGCAGCGATGAGCTGATCATTCTGCTGGAAATCAACCCTCCTAAGCAGGGGGAAACTTCTACTAGCGAGGTGGCGGCTCTACCCAAGGACATATTCCAGCATCTGTACGAGATCTATGTGGAGGCGGAGCATGCCCGTTCCAGCACCCATGAGCTGGCCTTTACCAGTCCGCGTAATGCCAACTTTTTGGGTTCCCGCGAGCATGGCGGCTTCATCTTTATCCGGCCCACGTACCAGTGCCTGCAGGGCGTTATAGTTCCCGAAAATCCATATCTTGTGGGAGTGCTCATCCACAGGCACGAAGTTCCCTGGGCCAAGGTTCTGCCTTTGCGTTTAATCCTTCGCTTGGGCGCCCAATACCGATACTATCCCTGTCCCTTGATCTCGGTACGTGGCCGGGAGTCGGTGTATGGCGAGATAGCTCAAACCATTATCAATTTCCTGGTGGATTTCCGTAACTATTCCTACTCTCTGCCAGCTATTCGTGGTCTGTATATCCACATGGAGGATCGACAGACCACGGTGATTATACCCAAGTATCGACAACAGGATGTGATCAAGGCGATCAATGTTGCCAGTGATCATATTTTGGCATTTGCTGGTAACTTTTCCAAGGTGGCCGATGGCCATTTGGTGTGCATGCAAAACATCAACGACGATCGTTCCGAGATGTACTCGTACTCCACGCAGGCAATTAATATCCAGGGTCAACCTAGGAAGGTCACAGGAGCCAGTTTCTTTGTGCTAAATGAATCATTAAAGAGCACCAGCGGATTGTCGGGCAAGTGTAGCATTGTGGAGGATGGCCTGATGGTGCAAATAATGGCTGCCAAAATGGAGGAAGTGCGTCAGGCGTTGCGCAATCAAACGGATATTGATATAGTGTGCGGGCCCATTGAAGCCACCGAGGATCAGAGTGAGATTGTGAGCATCAAGTGGGTGGACAACAATCGGGACATAAATGTGGGGTGAGTGGAGAAGGTTACTTTCCTTTCAATTGGAAATTAATTAAGTTTTTTTTATAGGGTAAAGTCACCCATTGATGACCAGGCCATGGATGGCATCTCCAATATGCGCGTCCATGCCAGCTTTAACTATTCCAATGCCAACTATGCAATCCGGCTGAGTGATATATACGTGGTCAAGGTGGTTTACGGTCTTGTTAAGTTTTATTTTTAACTAATTGATATATTCCTTTGACAGTGCGAAGAGTGGTATGCCACCAATGGTGGCAACTATGCAGACATTACCCGAATTGCAGAGCAACTGGCACGCAGCGTTTCCATGGCTTTGCTGCCTTTTCTTGATCTGCTGGCAGCAGCTGGCATCAATAAGCTAGGCCTAAGAGCCAGTCTTGATCAGGAGAATGTAAGCTTTGAAAAACCCTTTAAAAAATATTATAAACTAAAAATGTATTCCTGCAACAGGTGGGCTATGAGGCCGGTGCCAGGGGCTCAAAGCTGCCGCCGCTGTATATGAATGCCCTGGATAACCATCTGGTGGCCACTCTCCATGGCGAATCATCAAACATTCAGGATCCCATCACTCTCGAGCTGGTCTTTTACATACTGAATGCTTGATTTTAGTCCCCCACGTAGCGCAATTCTCCTCTTAAAACGAACAAAAAAAAAAGGAAAGCTTACAATAATTATACAAGAGAGAAGCCGACGGATGGATCTATAGTTGTATTGTTGGATCGCTCAGTTAACTGTGTATATATTTAAGTAGCTTATATCGATTGGTTCTTTTTGTCTCTCACAATAATCCCTCCCTCTATATATGTGTTACCCCTTGGAATTTTATTCGTTTTGAACTTTCATTGAAAGTAAAAAGTAACTAAGAAAAAAAACCTAAATATATATATATATAAATTTGTATGTGATGTTCTTTAATATGCTTTACACCATTTACCATTCGAGTATATAGAGATCTATATAATGCTATCTATATACAATGTATGAATAACAAACTATATAAAAAACTGTTGATGAAAAACCATGTTTAACTTCTGGGAGGGAAATTGAAAAACATTTCAATTGTTGTTAAATTATTGGTAGCAATTCTTTATTCAGTTTAAAGTGTGTTTCAATTGACTTTGTCGTGTGTGTGTGGATTACAAAATACCTTTACGACGCACAAGAACTTAGTCACAACTTTTCGAATATAACAACCTATAAATGTATATAAAAATGATGTTCATTCTCTCTCGGATTGTACATAATTTAAACTACGTCTAGAACCAGGGGGGGAGGGGACACACAAAATGTGAATGTGTTGGATGTTTGCTGATGCTTGATATGTATGCTATATACAGAATGACATCGCGAATTATCAGTCGCACTCGATTTATTGCCTGTTCATCTGTTTGTATATATATATATATATTTTTGAAATTTTATATAACTTAAGCACTCGTGTCCCTTCGATGTAAAAGAAAACCCCCGAGAATGTGAACCCTATGGAGGGGTATCCTACAGCTCGTCGTGCTTGGGGCCAGAGAACTCGTCGTGCGAGATATAGCCGTTCTTGTCCTTGTCCTCGTGCTGGAAGATCTCCTCCACCAGCTTGTCGTTCTCAGCGAGCATGTTCTTCAGCTCGGATGAATCCTGACCCTCCACGGCGGTCATTTGCTTCTTCAGATACTCGCTGACCTGGTTGGGTGGTAAATGGGTTTGATTTTTGATTAGAAATATGTTTTTAAATATGTTGGCAATACGAAAAGTAAGTATTATTAGGGGCAGAAATAATTTGATGACTAATTTGATTTCAGATTATAATTACAGATTTTTTATATAATATTTATCATATTTTTAAAGGTTTAAAAAGTTTAAAGGATCAATTAAAATAGATCACATCTATAGGAAAATTATTTAGGAACTCGAAAATATCTTTATAAATTGTAAATAGTAACGATTTATATGTATTTATCTTTTTATCTTTAAGTTCTTCTGATCCCTCATTATCTTTGGAATATAATATACTTTTTAATATTTTCAAAACTATCAAAACAAGATTTTTAAATTCAAAATATCTCTTTTCTGTAATTATTAAAAATCAAATAAATCCCTCATTATTTCTGCCCAATTGTTAGTAACTTGTAACCAAACCCAACGGATATTTCAGTGTAGAGAGTAGACATGGAATATATATAAAACAAAAGTGCGATCCATACATAGACGATTACCTCTTCGCGACTCAGCTGCTTGTCGGCATTCTCATCGATCTCCTTGAAGACATTCGTGGTGGCTGGGGCATTACCAATATTGATCAGCTCCACCTCAAAGACAAGGGTAGCCTTGGGCGGGATGACATTGCCGGCACCCTGATCACCATAACCAAGCTGGGGAGGAATGGTCAGCTTGCGCTTCTCACCTGTTTAAATTTTAAGGTAAAAATACAATGTAATTTAAAGGATTTTCCTAGGTATAAAAAAGAGTTTGGTTAGCACTTACCCACGCACATGTCGAGCAGACCCTGATCCCAACCCTTAATCACCTGGCCAGCGCCCAATTGGAATGTGAAGGGCTGGTCGCGGTCAAAGCTGCAAAAAAAAGAGGAAAAACAAATTGTTAGATGCTTGTTAGCCGCCAAAGTTTCAAGTGCCGTCAGGTGTCGCCGGGGAATCACCATAAAGCGAAACAATTCATCATACTTCATCTCACTCTCTTTTTTTTTTTTTTGTTTTTTTTGAGTCTATAAAATTATTTATTTGATGGTCTTGCTAAGCGAATTTACTTTAATTTGTTAAGCGTAAAAAAAAGGGGGGCTTCTGCTCAGGTATGCATGAGAATGTCGCGTCTTGAGCTTGATGTATGATGTGGCACAGTTGCAAGTTGGTATTGGGAGCTTCCAAGGAGCCCATTTGATGATGATTATGATATATAGAAATGGTTACCATCTCAGGTTAGGGGGTAGATGGCAATAAACACGTTGTAAAATGCCTTTTATAGGCTTAGGTTTTGAGTGGTGTATTTTTTTTTTCGAGGAAATTTAAAATTAAGGGGTGGCAAAAATAACAAATTTATATACTCTTTATGGGGTAATTCAATAAATCATAAAGATTATATGGCTTATATTTAGTTGAGTAGGTTTTTAATAAAGTCTGACGTTTTAATATTCATTTAAAACTTTTTTTAAAGAATATATTTAATGAAAGTTTAGATTTATTTTAATTTTTGATAATTAAGACCGGAAATAGGTTTAACCTAATTATTTAAGCAGAATGAATGCAAGTATAAAACTTATAAAACCCTAAAATATATTATTAAAATATTAAGAAAAAACTATTTAATATGTTTTCTGAATATATATAATTTTTTTAAAATTTATTAACGAAAGAAAATAAAATATTTTCCTATTAGGAATAAGCCTTAACCTCCCACAAATACTAAATTAAATATAACAACTCAAGCATTTTGTGCCAAAAATATTTTTACTTTAATTCTTAGTGTTTTTGCAGCCTTCAAATATTTTAATTTAATATTTAAATCTATTATTTTTTCATCCTAAACATTATTTAAATTTTGTCCTTCATTCAGAGGCTCAAAAAAAACATTTTGTTGAAGAACTTTGAACCAGCTCTCCAGAGATCTGAACTTGGCAATTGAAATGTGACGCCAGGGCCTGCTCCGACTGCAGGGAAAGTTTGTTAGCATTTTCTTCTACTGTTTTTTTTTTTTTTTGGCAACTCTCCTGTTGTGCATCATTATTGTATTATTATTGTTGTTTGTTAAGAAAGTTTCAGTGTTCAAGTGACGCGGGTAAATGTTTCCTTAAACTTGCAGGGAATCTCCTACAAGTTTAAAAACGAGACAGATTATTGCAGGCGAGAGGAGCCAAGAAAACAAATGATTAACCAGGAGTCACCCACATGGACGGAAAAAAGTTCTAGGGGAGAGCTTGGAGCTTGTCTGTTAAATATTTTATGTGCATCTCCTGGGCATTTTGCAAACATTTTTACATGCTCCGGCTGTTGTTTCAAATTCGAGTTCAAGTCACAAACGATGATGGGGCCAGAAAGTGGAGGAGGAGGAGCTGTGGCAATGCGGCAAGTGGCATGCGGATTGCCGCTGAATAATCCACCCAACCAAAAAAAAAAGGAAGAAAAACCCGGCAGCGGTTAAGTGTGACTCTGGAGCGTAACCAAAGTGTCGTCGTTGTCGTCGTCGTCGTGGCGGACGTTCCTGCTTTTTTGTCGCCGGCTTTCGCTCAAGTGCAAATCTCCAGATGAAATAAAAAAGCGTAAAAAATTTGCCATTCCCATGTTCCTATGTTTGGATGTGTTTTTCTGGGATTACGCCGCCTCGCATCCCAAGGAAGACACCTTTATTTCGGTTGTAGCGCTGCTGTCTCTGTGGCTGCTTTGAATTTTTATTGCATTATTTTCCATGAATTTCTAGTAATATGTGAAATATTTTATAGAGTCTTCCTTCTGGTTTTGTGTGGTGCTTTTAGGGCTTTATCTTGGAAGTGCTTACATCTTGATTCCTGCTAATTTATGCGATTTTTCGGAGGCTTAGAAAGGAAGCTACATAAGCTATTGTTTATTTTCTAGATCAATGACTGTTGTTTAGTCGAAAAAATAGAGAAGGGGAAAGAGTAATATCCTATATTTTTCCTAAATAATTCTAAATTCAATACTAAATCTAAAATAAAATAGTTTTATAATATTTTCCACTCTTTCTATATTTGAGATTATAGTAAATATTTTTCCACCTTTATTAAATACCAATAAACCCATTTAAAACCTTCAACAAATATCCACATTAACCCCCCTCTAATTATTCATTAAGCTCACAAAGTTTTCACCTTTTTTTCAACTTCCATTTTCCTCTTAATTTAACACTCTTTGCAAATGGTAAACCTTTAATGGGAAAAATCGTTTAAAAACCCCGAACGACGACGAGTCGTAAATAAATTAATAAAATCGTTTAAACGTGTTGATTGTTTCAGTCAGTTGCCCAGTTGTGTTGCTCGGACTTCCGTGTCCTTCGTCCTGTTTGTGCCCCCTGAAGGCAATCAAATATTTATGAATTACCGAGAAAGACAAACAAAAGGTCGGTCAGCTGAGATCGGGTCTGGCATTCAACATTCGCAGGTGGACAAATAATAAACCGGCGATGTGCAGCAGGTCGCAATTGAAATGGCAATTGCCATTGCAGTTACGCAATTGTTTGGGGAAAAATAAGTTTAAAAAAAAAATGTATATAGATATTTTGCAAGCGTATCTACAAGCGGTTTTACCAGTGGTTTTCTGGTATTTATTTTGGCCAAGTTAGAGGTGCTTAAGGTGGATCTACACCGGAGCATATGTGCTTCTTTTTCGGGCACTTTTATGGCCAGCCCCGTGCACATTATCATAAAGTCAGAGGAAAAATGTAAACTCATTCATCCAGTCACTAAATATTTAATAAGTTTCGATTTCATTCTTCCCGCCACTGCCACGGATACCAATTCGAATCCCTGTTTTGTATCTGCGAATTGCGAGCCGACGACGAGTCCCGGGTCCCAACGCATCGCATAATTTAAAATGCAGCTCAATGGGCGCCCAAACATCCGTTCCCTCCCATCATCTACGTGATTCCGCACCATGGGTGGTGAGTAAGCGGTGGGTAAGCGGTGGCATTGCCACCCGAAATCATACCACGTCACTCCGCCAAACTTCAGACACATTCAATCCAATCAAATTGAATCCTTTTGGGCTCCCTTGATGACCTCGTTTTATGTGTCCGGCCAGCAAGAAAAGTTATAAAATCAAATATGCAACCGCAATTCCTTCGGCATCGGTTGCCTCTTATTTTTTTTGGGGGGTTTGGGTAGAGCGACAAGTTGCGATTAACGTGCACCAAGGACAAGAAGGACTCCTGCAGGACCTCTGTCCCTGGATTCCTCTCTGTGGGCTTGGTCAACGTGCGAACAATTCACACAAAAACTCCAAAAGTTTGAACAAGTTTGAACCCCTGCACTGGCAGAAAAGAGGGTAAAGATTTAAAAAATGTTAAGGAATAAGATTTTTGCTGACTTAAGGTTATAGTCAGTTATAGTCAAGAAACAATTTGGTTGGTTAAAAATCAGTACATCCTTGGATTCATACTTGGTTTTTTTTTTAAATATTATTCTAACCCTTTCTCCTTCTCTTTGGACTAAAATTCCCAACTGGTTCTAGCTTTAAACCAGGGAAAACCACGCCGACAATGAGTGATGAAGGTCCCCGACAATGTTGCAACCAAAAATACACCCGTCTTTAGCTTGTATTTGATAAACTAAACACAAAACCCTGCTGAATTTCTTTCAGATTCTTTTCCTGCCTTTTAAGCCCCCTATTTCCCTCAGTGCCTAGACAAGTGCCTTACGGGACACCCGAATTTATGCCCCAGCTGGCGGCATCACGTTCCTGCACCCCTTCACTCCCAGGCACGCAAAAAAAAGAAGTAGGAACACTGCTGTAAATTCTGGAAATAAAAATTGCCACCGTTGAAGCTCATTAATTATTTAAACTATCTACAAATGTGTCTGAGTTTCGGGCAAAAGGGAAATATATTCGTGGCAGAAGTTGCCATAAAACTCAGACAGACGTCGGCTGTTGCAGTTGCACGGAGAAAACCCAGCGGCAGTTGATTGCTTCCACATGGTAATGAGCTTTAGATTTAGTGGCCAACTTTAATGTCGAAGCTGTTGCACTTCATAAATGTTTAGCCTTGGTGTCAAGGTTTTTTTTTTTGCGGCGATTAAGGTCTCTTTCCTTGATTTTTCACCTTTTATTTTATTTTTTTGTTGCCAACCCGTTCAAGGTTGTGCCACTAAAACTTTCACTTTGATGCATTTTATGCTGTTGCTGATGTTTCTTTACGCACTCTGCGTTTGGACATTAAATTGCAAGGGGAAAATGGGTGACAAAAAGGGGGGAAAAGTAAAGAAAAATGGGTGGAGAGCTTTGGGTGGTTAAGGAGGAGTTTTGCACTTGGCACATACAAATCATGGCAGCGCCCAAAAGCGACAACATCGCAAGTTATGGCCCGATGCCTCTCAGGTAACTGACTTATGCTCTTCTTTTTACTTTAGCTTCCTCTTGTTTACTCTGGCGTTGCGTTGTCAAAAATCTGTGAAACATGTTTTCTGAAGATGCCAGCAACTACACAAAAAAATTGGTTGCACTCGAGCGAATTTCTAAAGATTTGTACAAAAAGAAAGTCCCCAGAAGAAAGGAAATCATAAATCAATTAAAGCTCATTTATGTTTTCATTTCCTATTATAGTTTTTAATTTTTTTTTGTCTATTTTTTGTTTAGCCAAACTTTCACCCTAGAAAATATACCCAAATTTACATGTTAATCAAAAGTGTCGCACAAAGGTGTGAAATGACCTGAAACACTATAAATGGTTACCTTCCAATGACTTAAATTGCTTGGAAAAAGATATTTTGGGATTTTTTTTTATTTAGTTAATGAAATTTAAACTTAATAGAAAATAAGCACAAATGTTCAATGATTTTTAACTAGTTAATAATGTCAAATATTCTATATATATAAAAAACTAAGATGACAAAAAATATGGAAATTTGTATAGCCGATAGAAAAATCGCTATTTTAACGTTTCGATATATGTGCGATAATTCGATATTCTTCTTGATACTTTTGACTAAGGTAATAGAAAAAAGAGATATATAAATAGCATGTCTGGGGCATTGTAATTATTTTATTTTAACTTCAAATTCATATTATATCGTACATTTCCTCTTGAAATCCCTATAAAGAATTTACTTCTTTAAAGAACCCCTTCCTATAAATATTTTAAAAATATCTCCCTTAGGTTTTTACCATATTTTCTCTTGCTTCCGCGAAACTTTAAGCGAAAAACCCTAACAATGTTTGGTACTTTCAGTGCCCCGAAGTAACAAATTAATTTCACCAGAAGAGTGACATAGCCCGAAAGAGCCACCGTTGCACATGAGAAACTTCGTGGGGGAGGCAGGCGGCACATCATACTACATACTATATATCATAGGAGGTGAGGTGAGACCCTCTGGGTGGTTGTAGTGTATTCATGTTACGCGTCAGGCTGATTAGAATATAGCGGCGAGAGGCTAAATAATTTATGCGGCCAAAAGAAGGTCTGCGGGTCAAAAGTAGAGTAAAGTAGATACCTCTACTTGTTGCCGAGAAAAAAAAAATGAGGGAGGAAGCTAGAGAACTACAGTTGCCTTCGCTGAAGAGTCATTGACAAACTGTGGTTGCACGTGACCTGGAGCCAGGGCTATGACAGGTAGAGCTCCAACTTCCTTGTCCTAACAGAGACAATGAAAATAAAAGCAAGCTGGCACGTGACAGGACTCTAGCTCTCGTCCTGCTCATTATTGAATTAGTTATGAAAAGACAAAGATGGAGCATTTTTAATTGTCCGAAAATGAAAATGAAAAGATCTGTCTTCTCTCATTTTATAAATTTTATTTTGAGGCAACGAAATACCTTGTAATCCTTTTTAATAACAATTAAGCACGTATGCTTCGTGGGTCCTTTTTATGCCTGTGTGTGCTTAGGACAGACTGTTTCCAATTTGAGTGGCATTTCAATAAGCAGAATTCAATCGCCAGGACCTGTCAAGTGCACATAAAAAGGCTCCTCCACTTAATCTATCTTTCCACCGTAAGAATAATAAAAAAAAACTCATCTTTTAAACCTTTTCGCAGGCAAAAAGCTTAATTATCTTGGGAGACAGAAAGAGTAGCCGGCTTTCAGGCAGCTAATTTCCGCTGCAACCCAGACTATATAGCCTAAAACCCCGTCAAAGGAGATAGAGCGCCTCCTTCTCGGGGCCAAAGAAATGACTGGAAAAAGATTCTTTTAGCATAAAGGAGGCAGTAGAAGGTAGAAAAGGGGGTGATTTTCAAGGGGGTGCAGGCGGCAAGCTGTCGACATCCTTGACTGCACTTGACTGGCAAAGTGCCTGGCTTGCTGTTTGGCCAAGTTCGAGGGCATTTAAGCCGCAGCCGCAACCAACAGGTGGCAAAAGCCAAAGAGAGAGGACGCACTCTGATTGAGTTAGTTAGTTTCTCTCTCTTTCTCTCTGTTGGCCACGCTAAATTTAACAGCAATTGCGAAACTTTCAAGCCCGGCCAAAAAGGTGAACTTCCACATAATTTGCCACCCCAAAAACTCACTCAAGGTGAGGCCCAAAAACTAAAACAGGACAAAATTCCAGCTCTCATGAAAGGAGGTACTCCATAGTTTAGCATATAAAGATGTAATGGGAAAAATAAAAAGGGTTAAATTCAGGCAGACAGACTAGAAACATTTACAAAATCATTTCCTTCATAAGAGACACAATTTTCTGGTCATAAAATTAAATCAAAATTTGATAAGTCCAAAAATGAAGTGAAGTTGCAGAGAATGGGTTGATTTTTGCCCCCTCAAAATAGTAGAGTGAAAAAAGCTTATGCTATATTTATATACCCTCATGGTCGGCTATATATCAGTGAAGATAATCTAGTTTCAGTTGCTTATCAACAAGTTTTTTGCTTCAGCTGATATCAATAAATATACAGATAATGAATTTGAGCGCTTGCCAAAATGATTACACGCATGGAAAAGATTGTTTTATATTTAGCGAAAGGGTGATTTTTGTATTTTAAGCTTAATGAAGAAATTGTATCCTTTTGGAAAAAGGAGCAGCTTTCTGGCTGGGCTTTAATTGGGTTGGCTGTCCTTTGTTGGGAAGAAGGGCCTGCTGTTGTGGTTTTAAGTTAACCGCACAACTTATACAATTTATGGCACTTTGGTTAAAAGGTTACAAATGAGAAGTCGTGGGGATTGATTATATTTTAATTTATTTTCTTAGGCATTTTTATAAATATATTCTTTTATTTTCTAGGCTATAACCTTGCACCTTGAAACATTTTCCACCGGAAGATGAGTTCTTTGCTTTATGAAGTCCAAAATCCAGGGCCAACTCACAATGACCGCAGAACAGAGACAACAACAAAAAAAAAGGCAGGAAAAGCGGCTCATTCAGGCATGGAAAATGCAACAAAAACACAAAAAGAGCAGCAGCAGTAGCAGCGACAATGCAACAATGAGATCGCTTATCAGTTGGCGTCTAATTTACGACAATGAGCCGCCGTGACGACAACAACGACGACAGACTGACTATGCAGCTGACTCTACCAACCAACCAACCAACCGGCTTTAATCCCATACGTGGCCAACCGATGTATATCGGTGAGTATATGTTAATCTCCTTGGGGAAGGGGGAGATTACAGTCGCAATTGGCTTTAAAAATTGCAGCGTTCTGAACTTTGACATTACCACAAAAATTTTGGGGATAATTATAAAGATTTATGAGCTAAAAAAATGAAATTTAATAGAATCTGATTTTGGAATTACTTTAACAATTAAATTTTTATAATAAAACCAACTTCTTAATGATGAATAACTATTTTTGGACTTATAAATAAGGGGTTTTCTAGGAAGGTACAAGTTCCCATGTACTTTAATGGAAATTTAGCTCTCCATTTCTATAAAGACTTAATTAAAGTGTGGACTCACCTCGAGTCGAACTTCTTGCCATCGGCCAGCAGGGTTCCGGTGTAATGCATGGTGAGGGAATCGCCGGACTTGGATTTTTGTTCACATCCCTCGGGCAGACTGATCACGTCCACCTTCAGATCCTCGGCGCTGACCAGGCTGATGGCCAAAAGGCACGACAAAACGAGAATGGATTTCAACATGGCTGAAAAAATGAAAGAAAACTTGATTACCGAAAAAAATCTGTAAAATCTCGTTATTTAAACTTTAAACACTCAACAACAAAGTAAAAGATCAGTTTGAGTATATTAAAGTTAGTAATAAAGTTAATATAATATTAACCCAAATTTATGACTTCATTTGGTCAAATTGCCATATAAAAGCTAAACAAAAATGATCAGACTGCTAGAAAAAAATAAATGTTTGCTCGCCAGACCATCAACTAATAATTAAGCACTCTAAGCATGTGCAATGATCTGTTAAATAGGCAATAAAAAAACCCCACTAATTAGTGAGTGAATGAATATCTGCCATACCTGGAGTGTATTAAACCTTAAAGCTTATGGTAATCCTTGGAAATTATTATCTCGGCACTAACTCGAAAGTAAACCAAGCCACTAATGCTGAGGCCAATTGGATGTACGCCAACTTTTATACACCCCAGAAACATCAATCCGCTCTCCAACATCTTTGGCTTAATCATCGCTCGCATTCAAAAGCGTTGCACAAGCGTTAAATTTTGAATTTAAACCAATTACTACGGTACCCGGGTAGGTGTAACATCTCTTTTCGGTTTGTTTTTGCTCAACAGTGTAAAGTTGAAATTGAAATTGAAAGAGGGGTCGGTCGGCAGCGATTGCGAGCGAATGGGATGCGGCAAACAGCAAAAATTAGTCATTATGCAAATGTGCAATTCATTTCAGAGTGTGAGGAGGGAGCTGCTGCCGATTTCGACCAGCCAGCCAACCAGCTTGTACCATTCGGATGGCCAGCTGGAGGGGATTATGCAAGCCGTGGCTAAAGCCAACAAAATTATTGCGCGTACATGGTGGCGTATGCGTAATGTCCAGCGCGGTAAATTCCAATTGGATGTCGGATGTGGGTGTTGCTTTTTTTTTTTTTTTTTAATGAAAGTTTGGCGATGAAAGCGCGTAGGTCGCCTTAATAAAAGAAGGTAAAACTAAAATAAAGCATCGCTTAAAACAAAAAAGGAAAGCTAACTATGGCCAATGGGAATGTTTTAATACCCTACAGTTTGAGTCAGTTAAAACTAAGCCAAGTGTCTTAAAAATAAGATTGAACCTTTACGATTTAGATATCTAATATCTAATAAAATTTAGTTATTTTATAACAAATGTCAAATATTTATATAAAACTTCTTTTAAAACTCCAAAAAAAATCCCAAAAATTAATTTATACTTTTTAATCTCTGTAAACATATTTCAAAATATAATTTTAAAGCTTAATTTTTCAAAATCATGCTAATGTTGGTGATAGGGAATATATTTTTATCCATTATAAATATTTAAACAATTTTTTAATATAAAAAACTGTCTTACTAACTCTTAAAAGATGAAGCTTATCAATTCTCGGGGGTACCCAGACCTCGAAAGGGTATATCAGATAATTTGCAACACAAAAAATTCAAATCGTTGATAAAAAATAAAAAATAACTCAAAATGGCATACAAAAAAATAACACAAAAAAAAAACTGAAATATGGGCGACTTTATATAGTTGGAAAACTTTCACTAATGGAAAGGCAATGGTCAAGCCTCAATTACGTGGAATCGGCATTAACATCTCTCCCGATCTTTGCTTCAGCTTCTTCTTGCTCTGCTCTCCTTTTGTTTCTGCTTCTTTTTTTATATTTTTGTAAGTTGGCCTTTTTTTGGGGGGCTCTTAAAACCTGTTGGGGGCGAGCAGCTTCTTCTTTTTCACCTGTGTATTTTCATCTCCTTTTTCTTTGTATCTTTCGTATCTTTTAAAAGAAGAGAAAAAAAAGTTCAGTGAACTGCCGGAGGTACGAAGTTTACCGTTAAACCTCCAATTGACAAACCGGCGCTAAATGTTTTCGGGAAAATTTCTTCTTAAGCTACACGTCATTAGTTTTTCTTCTTGCTTTCGAAACAACAACAAAATGCTAATTATTGAGCGACGATCGTGGTTAGTCGGAGGGAAAACAACAATAACAACAAGTGCCAGAAACCGCCCGGCAATATTTTTTTATATTATTTTTATGGTTTTCAAGCGATAAGCTGGACAGCTCCATCTCTCCCTCTCTCTCTCTCTCTTAGGCTATTGCCGGCCTCTTTCGTTCAATTTTCTAGAGGCCTACGGATACATGTGTGAGTGTGTGCGTGAACTGAATATGAATGAAAGAGACACGACAGCAATGGCAAAGTACACGCTTTCTTCGATTTCTCGACGTTTTGTTTCTTAATGAGCACATTTTATAAATATTTACGCTAAGCCAAGCACACGAGTTTCGGTCTGATATCTGCAAATATACCTTTTGTCTTCCACAAAACGGATATCACTCGGTTCCGGCGGAGGGACGGATGGGGGCGGATGCGATGGATCGGCGAGAAACACACACAAAACACGCGAGCAAACGGCGAGAGTAAGCGAGGTACGTCCACTGCGATCGAAGTGCGGCACTGAATTGCTGGAAGCCGCGGCGTCGAAGTAGCTTTACTACTCGCGGTCGCTACACTGAGAGAAATAGTCTACAAAAAGATTAGACCCTTAAAATAGAGGTTAATTTCTTTTACCTAATTCTTTATCGAAATATAAACTACTTTAGTAGAAGTTGTAATTTAAGTGGCCTATAAATTTTAAATATTTTTGATTTAAGTGATTATTTTTTATTAAATTCATACTCTATTTCACTTATCATTTATGGTAAAGAATTTTTCTAAGTGCATCCACATGCTCCCACAAAAAGAGAGTGTATGTGGAAAAGAGACAAAGTGATATACCCCATACTTAAGCCCCAAGTGAAAGAGTACGGGGGAGAAAAAGATCAAGAGCGGAATTCAACTGGTGATCCCAGTGGTGGGAAGCAAAAAGAGAGCACTTGTCCACGTAATCAAGTTGATTGTGATTCTCAGGGGCGGATCAAGTGAATGAAAAAATGAATGATAAAATAAACAAGAAGGAAAGCTAACTTCGGAAAGCCGAATTTTTAGTACCCTTGCAGTTTGCAATAGATCAGTAGATTCATTTTAAAATCTATCATAACTAAAGCAAAACTGCACTAATTTATAATCGGAAAGCTTTTCTGTACTGATTTTTATTAGATTAACAATCTTTTTATTGTTTATTTTTATTTATTCTTTCTTTTGTTTATACATTTTAAAAAATTTTAATGATGTTACCCCCTTATACATTTTTGTATTTTCAAAAGAACATAGTTTGATCGACTCTGCTGATAAAAAAATATATTTCTTACTTACAGAGAAAATGAAAGCACTTGAACATATTCCAAAAATGTAATTTGTTGTTTTTTAGTTAATTATTGTTTGAAAAAACGTTAACCAAAAACCGAAGGATGCGAAAATATATGGAACACAGAGGACACACAACCTACTCGAGCAATTATTCGAATGTAACTGAAAGGAAGCTGCGACAGGATTCAAACGGGTCAACATGTTGCTAGCAACATTTTTGCCACAAAGTTTTGGAAACATTAAAGCTCCGCCTACTTTTTTAGAAAGCGCAGGCGCCGAAATTTTCGGGAGGAGCTAAATGGAATAATCTAATTAAATGATTGGATAATAGAAAAATATTTTAATTATAGAAAAATAACAAAAATAATAGCAATTAATCAAAAACAGTGCCTAAAATATTCCCACTTAGTGTTTAATTAGGCAAGAAATTGTCAGAAATTAATAAATCAAAGCCACTTGGAACCGGTGTAATCTCAATAAATTTAAAAATAGCTTTATCAATAAACAAAAAACTCGAATAACCTAATGATTTTTCTTTGTCAATCCATATATTAATCTCATTACTGCAAAACGACAAGCTTTGCTCAATAAATTTGTCACTTTGCTTATTTATTTCATTTTAGTTAAGCTTCCCATAGCTTTGGCCTGATATCTGTTGAGCTTAGCTCTGGCTGGTCTATAATATATATTATTCTAACTATGGGCACTCCCATGGATACCGAAAGTAGCACCCTTGGATCTTTTTACGCCCCACTGAGCGCCGACGAGCAATAGATAGATCGAATCAATTAAACGTAAACTGTCTAAATTAATTGAAAAATCAGTCGAAATCAGTGGCACTCTCAAAACGGTCGTGCGTGTGGTGTTCAAATCCTAAAAAAAAAATGCGTCAAGAAGTGCAAAATAAACCCCAAATGGGGAATCGATCTATGGGCTTTGCCCTTAAGCGCAGGAACGACCGTTTTGTGGTGGAGCCTATCGGAGGAATTGAGAATCCAGCCTATGAACCCGATCTCGGTGGGGATATAGCCACAACAAGTGAATTTGCTCGAAAATGGCGAGTATATATTTAAAGGTTTCTTACCTTTTTTTTTTAATCGAAGTGGGAGATGTCAAGCAGTGCTTACTTGAAGGTGTGTCAGCTGTTCATAGAAAAGGGCAGTAAAATTGTATAAATTATAGTGATAAGCACTTAGTGCCTTCGAAAGCTCCTTACTGGCTCATACATTTAATCTTATAGAGTACTTACTATGCATTCATTTTAAGTTCAACAAACCTTAATTAACAAAAATCCCATTTCCGATATTAATATTCATTTATAATTACAATACATTTTATTTGTGTTAACAAAAGGCTAAAAAAAACAGCAACTAAAAATAACCCCTTATAAGGATCTAACTTCTAATATTTAAGAATTAACCATATAAAATTAAAGCTAATCTAAAATCCCATGGTGTGCCGGGTCTTGGGTCGCTTGGCGGGCGGTGGATTGATGTCAAGGCCACATTCGATGATTGTGTTCTCTCCAGGCTGTAGAATAGAAGGCATCTGGAAGGTGACTCTCCGTTCAGGAGTGAAATTATCCGTAGGATATACGTAATCCTCATTTAGCGGAACTATGGATACCTCGGAATACTCTGCTGTCATGGCGTCATACAGCTTCGGTAGATTAGTGCCCGGCACTAGATTGGGATTACGTCGTTCGGTCTCCTCGTCTGCCTCCAATTCCAGTCGGAGTTCCGCTGGTTCGCTGGACAGTTTATCTAACCAGCTGGCCATGCGATTCTCTGGCTCCAATTCCTTTGGCAACTTTTCGTCTATCATTTCCCTGGTCACATCGCGTGCATGATCGTATTCCTCCATATCCCAGACATCTAGCATCCTTACGGTAAGCATATCCTTAAAGCGGGCCATCTGATAGGCAGACTTTTGCCAAGATCCACGATTGATGCCCTTATCTTTTTTGAAATTAAACTTAACTGGTTGCTTATCTTTGGATTGCTGTGTCACTTGCTTTTTGGTCTTGTTTTTGAGTTTCTTTTTGCCCTTCTTATCGAGTTTCTTCTTCTGGCCTCGCCCTTTGCTCTTGGTTATTTCTAGTTCTTCTTCTTCATCATCGTCTGAAATATCTGAATCCTCAATTCCCCAGTCTATCTCGATATCTTCCACGATCATGGGCTTAACATCGGGCTGAGGTCTCTTGCCTGCCTCTCTAAAAATCTCTCTCATCTGTGGTATAGATTGCACTTCGGTGCAGCGAAGTTTCTGGCTTTGCACACAGTTCTGGACTTGACTTGTATAGTAGCTAATGGCTGTGGTGTTGTGCAGGCCCGTTCGTAACTCCTCAATGCGCTCGCTTTCATTGCGAGTCCTTAGTCTCTGGGAGTAGAGATCGCCCAGGCTGTTGGCTGTCAGGAGCTGAGCAAAGCCTTGGTCGTTGACATTCTCCAGACAGCTGAATCGCAGGCCGGTAATACAGGTCTTTACCCTTTCCGTAAGATCAGCATAGACATCCACGCAGCCCCTCAGTCGTGCATCCAACAGGGCTTCTTGCAGCGAGGGAGGAGCATATGGCATGGCTGGTGAGAACAGTTCATCTATATTCGAGGCCTGAGATCCCTTCAGTTCACAGATACGCTGATCGCTAGGCAGAAGGCCTCCCAAGGCTATAAATTCGCTGTCGTCGTGGGCGCATGTGTCCATAAAACACGGCGGATAGGTCATTTGATGGGTCCACGTGACCACCGCACGATCGGTGAGATTTTTACCCAGGCAGCGCAGGTCCAAGCAGTGCAGCTTGTGATTGCTGGCCACATACAGTAAGTTAGGATTCACGCCCTTGCCCAAGCAGGAGAAGGTCTCGCAGGTCTTGGAACGAAAACTGCTGGCATAGCAGGGATTCAGTGGCCGATCGCATCTCTCGTCCACTGTGAGAAGCACCGGCTGGGTGAGAAAGTGAAATGTGCTTCCATCCGCTGGCATTAATTGTGCCCAGGTACTGGTAGAATGCTGCAGTCCTTTGACCCAACAAACATCATGTTTGGCCACATCCTGTTGGGTTATAATGTCCAGGAAGCGTAGAGAGCGATCTTGGGAGGCCAAGGCCAGGACATTAGGCTTACCCAACGATTGGGAGACGCTTGTAAAAGGCGCCGCCTGACTGCTAAACTGGCTTTGGCGAATCAGTTGGTATTCTGGCAACTCAGACTCCTCCTCCTGAGGCTCCTGGCGCTTCAACTCGTACAGGGATATCTCGTTGAGAAAGCGCCCCATGAACATGTGGCCATGATTCACCCCAAAACTCTCCACTGGCAGTATTTCAAAGAGTTCGCTGGAGGTTTCCTGCAGCTTTTCCGAGTGAATTGTCTGCCACATATTCAGATTACTGTTGATGGCGGATATGTGCAGGTCGTTCAGCTTCTTACCGCTGACATGCATCACTAGGCTGCTGTCTTCGAAAGGCATCGTGTTGATGTTGCCGCCTGTGTAATAATAATCGTAGCTGTCCCGGAAGAATGGATTCTCCTGCCCAGCTATATGCTCCGCCATGTCGAAGAGCCTTATATCGTAGATATTTTCCATATGTTTCTTTTCCCGCTGCTTCATCCGCTTGGTCTCCTTCCCATACTGAACCTTGTAGACGTTTAAATTCCGACTCCAGTAGTCGTAGTACTGCGGTCTCTGGACGCAGGGCTCCACGTGCGGCGAGTGGCCGTCGAGGGGCAGGAACACGGGTATTGGTACCTCGACCAAACAGCTGGGAAATATCTGATCCTCGTCTTCGTCCAGCTCGTGCAGTTCTTGCCCCAACATGCCGGTGTTTAGAGCCGGACAAGATGAGTGCTGCACCACTTCCAGGGCGCGTCGCAACACCGCCTCCTGTTCATTTCTCTCCGGATTTTCGTCCTTGTCAGAATCACTGTCGGAATCCGATTCATTATCACTGCCCTTGGACTGCAGCGAGGCATTCAACCTGGACAGCTCCTGGGATATTCTGTAGCGTCGCGGCATGGCTGCAAAAGAAATGAGGCTTTAAGTGGCTTCAAAAGCTTGTAATCAGAGGAATATACTTGGTTGATGGTTGATAATATCTTTCAAACCTACGCGCAAAGTTTTATATTTACAGCATGCTGTTTCTTTTTCTTCTTCTGTCGCACTAAACAGCTGTTGAGTGATGGTATTTTAGTAGTAGGGTGGTATTTTTTTTAGCGCGGTCACACTTCGATTTTTTTTAAAAGAAAATAGGTAACGTAAATAAATATATTTGTTAAAATACATAAAAATAAAATAGAAAAAAAGTATTTTAAAAATGGACTTATTACGTGCTTGCAGCTAATAAGAAAGAGAGAGAGAGAGAGAAAACAAGCTAGTATCGATATTACTAATACTGTTTTCCTGGTTACAGCTGCCAATTTAGCTATTTTCCCTCTAAATCTAGCGTTTTTTCGTTGTTCAATAACAATATTCTATGAATGTAGGCTCAAATAAATGAATATTAACATATTAGATTATTTACAAATTATTTAAATTAATAATATAATCAAAGAAAAAAAATTTCCAGAGCTACCATCACAACTGTGTAGCTTTTCTAGCTTTTTTTTGTAAAGCTCTTTACCCGAGTTGGCAGCACTGGTACTGTTATCAACTTTTGTTCACCTCTAGCGTGTTGTTTCAAAATCGGGCAGACGCAAAAAAGCAGCTGGCAAAATTACAAGAAAAAGAAAATTGATCCCGAGAAAATTAGAAAAATTACATTGCAATCGCGACGGGCGTGTGTGTGTGCGAGTGCGTGTGCGCGAGCGAGAGAAAAAAAGCGAGCGAAAAGAACGAGCACACAGAAATTACACAAGTTGTAAAAGAAAAGTCCAAGGAAGGGGGCAGAAAAGAAACGTTGGCCGAGACCAAATATTGATTTTTTCATAGGCGACTCCTTCGTTTTTATTGTTGTTGTGGTTTTTCTGCGGTGGCAATTAACAAACGGTGTTTCTTACTGTCTGACAACTCGGGAAAGCGGAAAAGCGGACGACAAGCGGCGGCCCCACAGTAGTTTTCCACGATAATCCCGATATCGCTTATTTGAGGCCAGGAAAAGAGGCAGAACAGAAAGAACGGAAAGCGTCAGGTGAGTTTTTAATATCCAACCGCGCACACATACACTCACCAACACACACACATACACCCACAGCAGGCACAATTAACACACATACAAGTGCAAGAAGCGGACAAGACAACAAAACAAATGCAAATTGGACAGGTGCGAATGGGAGGGGGAGTTGATATTCCAGCTCCCCTTCTCTTTTTTTTCTTCCTGGGTGCCCCATGTTTGCATTTGTTTTGTTGCAGTTCTTCTCTACCACTTCTCCCCCCTCTTTCTCTTTCTCTCTCTCTGCCTCTCTCTCACTGTCTGTATTTCTCTCAAATCTCTTGCGCTCGCCCCCATTACCAGAAAAAAAAAACACGCTGCCTCATCTAAACTTTTCATTTGCATCCAAGTATCTGTTTTTTCCCCTCCCCCTTCGTTTCTACCAATTAGCACTAACTCTATATTTTCGCACACTTCTTTTTCTTCGTTTTTGTCTTAGTTAACAGTTAGTTGTTAGGAGTTGCGCCTCACCTGCATGTTCCTATTGTTGTTGCTTGTTATCACAGTTGTTGTTGTTGCTGTTGCTTGTCTCATATCTTTACTAATTCCTTAGTTTATTATGTTCTTTTTTATTCGTTTTGGTTTCGGGGTTCTTTTGGGTTTTCCTGGCTTTTCTGGCTGCTAATTTTGACAAGCCCCAAATGGCTTCTGGGCTCTGACGTAATGCCACCATTCCTGCCCGCCCTCTCTCTCACTCTTTGGCTCCCATTTCTCCCTTGCTCGCTCTCTCCGATGGAGCTGGTGATTCTCTGCTGTAAACGACCTCCAACTAACTTCGCCGCAATCATTCCAGCAGCTGGCACAGTGAGGCTTTCTTTATGGGACAACTCCAGCTGCATTTCCAATGAGTGCTGGTTTTGGGTTATTAAACTTTAGAAGCAATATATAAATAAAATCACAGAAAAGGATTAATGTACAAACCTTTTACTGTACAAATTAAAAGGTTTTTCTCACTTTTAAAATTGTATAAATATCACTTGATGAGAGAAAAACCTCTCGTTTCAATAGATATAACTTTACCATCAAAATTGCAATAAAAAGATTATTTTGATTTTTCAAAGTTTTCAAAACGTATGTTTTTGAAGTATTCTATTATTATTTCCATTCAAAAATATATTTTATCTTGTATCTATGCAGTTCTCAAAGTAACCACAAATCACCCAACTTCAGTGGGAGTTCTAGAAGCCTTCATAAAGTTTCCTTCTTTTGGGCAACCTTAAGTGCAATTTTCGTTTCTCTTGTTATAAAAGTAACTTTAAAAAACAAACCGCACAATAAATTGACAGTTTATTTACCGACTAACCGACCTGTCTTTGTTGTCCACAACTTCTTACCTAATTGGTTTAACCATTGACAGTGTTTACTGTTCCTGGGCAGACATTTGTTATTTGCTGTTTTGTGAAATTTTATTGCTCTTGGCGGCGGCGTTTTGGGTGCGGAACCTGGGGTCTGGTCCTCCTCAATCGGGAGATGGGTGTTGTAACCTGTCGGCGCCATCGCCAGCAATATTCGTTAGTCGTCGTCTGTTACGATTCTAGCCATACTCTGGTCGTGTCCATATAGTGTATATCTATTTTCTGTTTAACTTTCCTGCATATTTAATGCGTAGGTCAGTTTACACAAAAAAGAACGCAAAAAAATAAAGACAAACACAAAGAAAAGTTGAGCTCACAAATTGCTTTTGGCGCCTTGTTGCTGCTGTTGTTGTTGTTTGTTGTCCGGTCAGGTGTTTACCAACTCTCATGGCATTCTTTTCCCACCTTTGAACCTCTCTCTGTCTATCCCTTTTTGCCCTTGCTCTGCGGCTCTGTTTTTATGTAACTTTCAAATCGATTGCAAACACGTAACAGTAGAGCAACCTGCTGTCCCAACGCCCAACACCTCCCAACTTGCTACGTCGCCGCCCCCTCATATATAGTCCAAAAAGCACTTGGATAATAATTGTAGTTAAAAGATTTTTACCAATTTTTAAAAGTCACGAAAGGGGTTAATTTAGAAGGATAAATCTGTTGAAAAACCTTAGGAAGGGTCTTAAATACTATTTAAACTCCTGTTAATTAAATACCAACACTATTTCTTTGATAAAATTCTAAAAAATTAAGAGAACCTTCAAATAAACTCATTATAAAAACGAACTATATATCAAGATCTACCTCAACTCCATAATATAGAAAGTATCCCTTGTAATTACATGATAATACTTAAAACAATAGTTAAAACAATGGTAATCCTTGCCTTTCTTTCTTAATATTTTCCCCAGTGTATCCTGCAACAACGCTCTGACGTTGAGCAGAGTGTGATTTGGTACGTTTCTGCTTGTATATTTTTTTATTCGTATTTTCGTTGGCCTGCGGCCTGACATAGCGTGACATTTCCTTTATGTGATTTGCAGCCGCTGTCGCTGCCCCCATTACCTCTGATCTCCCCACCTTACCCATTGCCAAAGCCCCCCACAGGTAGTAGTGCCGCTCGAAGGAGACCAAGAACATTTGAATAATTTCTGTTTTTGCAAATTTGTCTCTACGGGAGGTACGGATATCCTTGAAGGCCTCCGACAAATTGCAGTCAATAGAATAGTTGGGAAAATATTTTGCAGAAGGGGGAAAGCCACCTTCGAAGGCATTCGGAATACAAGGAATTCTTTGAAATACAAGTAGTTGGGATGCAAAGGGGAATCTATTGAGTTTACCGAAAACAAACTGAAAATATAAAATCAGAATTGTAAATTATTTGAGCTGTATTGACCTTAGGTCTTAGCAAGTAAATAAAATCACCTAAAACCTGTCAATAAAATCTAAATTACTTGGAATTTTAAGGAAATCGAGAAAACCGAAATAGAAGGTACTTTTATGTATAGTATGCAACACTATTGACTGAAAGAGCCGGGTTTGTTGTTGCCCGTTGACCTGCCAACGGTTGCCATGGGCTACCGTGCCAAATTGTCGATATTCCGTGTGCTCCTTTGGCAAAAGGCCGGAAAAACAACTACGGCAGAGCCAAGGCACGTCATTCGCCCAGCTAATTTCCATGGGTCGGGAAAAAGAGTGTCTTTGCCCTGCACTCCTCGCACTTGGAGAGTGCCTCCTTCACGTGCAATCGCAATTATGAATAATTCGCCATAAATGGCACACTACGCTGGCTGGCCTGCAATTATTGGAATTGAAGTGCCCCAGATGCCACCGATAAATCGCTAAAGCCTAGCCATGGGTATATACATATATAACATAAAGTATCTGAATATGGCGACGCTAGTGTCATTATATCATTTCGTGTGGCCGAGGTGAAAAGTGCAAGCGCAACTTTATCAGCGCCCATAAATCGCCCGGGGAAAGGTCAAAGTTGAGCTCGACGCTGGCTGACTTTTCTGTGTGGGAGAGAGCTTCAGGGTGGAATTTCCTTTTGGGTCCCCTAGCCTATGGCTGTAGGAACTTTAAATGCGCTGTCAGTGGTCGTTTAAAAGCGGTATCTATTGGATTTTAAATTGTAGATATAAATAACACAATAAACAAGGTTTAAAAATATCTTAATTGGTGATTTGGTACTACAATTAGTCTATAAAAATCACATAAATAACAATTTTCTTATTTAATTTAACTGAATGAATTAAATATTTACAACCCAAAGAAAATTCTGTTTGGGCTTTCTTATCATCAAGAAATTCCTCTAGTAACTTAATAATTCATTTAAATATCAGTTTACAAGTACTAGAAAAACAACAAACTGGATAAACTACTATTTTCTTTGTTTATTTTTCCATTTTTCATTTATCCACACAACTAAATCATACAAACACATTCTTTGTAAAGAGATATCTCTTCATAACAATAGAAGAAAATGTGAGAGATCTCTGAAGAGCTTCTGAAAAGCAATCAGAGAGTCAAGAACCCTGCCCTGAATCCAACAAGATAACAAGATAAGATAACAAAGAAATCGCTAGCCATGCTTCGTAAAATCTATAAAATTATCAAGTCATGATTTCAGATTTTCTGCTACAATTTTAACTGCCTTACTTTTGGCCTGTGATCTGCTGATGTTTTTTTTATGACAAAAGTTTGTTTCTTTGAATGGCTAAATTATGCAGATAACATTGCAGCTAAATTGGGTAATGAGCAATAAAATGTTCATGTCCATTGGCCTTTGTATAATAAAACTCTAAAATGCGAAAGGCGGCCAGTAGCTCCTCTTATATTTTTTCTCTGCCCCTCTGGAGGCTCATTCATCATACGCACTGTGGTCCCAGCTTGAAAATGAATTCAAATTGCTCAGCTTGACTGGGTTCTAAAACGTAAGACGCAAAAAAAAAAAAAAAATTAATAGTAGCCATAACGAGTTTTTCGTTTTGTTTGTTGTCTGAATTTATATATACAGTTACACATTTGTTGTAGTATATATATATACTATATACGTTTATCTGTTTCTGTGGGGCTGCGTCATTAGTTTTGAAGCGTTTGCATTTGCTTTGTTGCTGTCCGGTGATTATTAGTTGATAAATTCGCTCCGTATGACGCACTTAATCAGCTCTAGAAGCCCGAAAATTAAAGAGGGAACACATAACCAACACACACTAGCATTTTGGGCATGTGTGAAATTTTCATGCTTTTGGCCCACTTTTGGCTTTAAGCCAGGGCACGTGGAGAGCAGGCCTCAACCCTTGGCCCAAACTGGGTTAATGTAATGCATATGTGCTCTGGCGAATGGCAGGGCTTTAGGGTGTTTAGGGGTTATGGGGTTGATGCAGTCTCTCTCTCTGTGTCCCCCCTTGCATTGCGGCTTGGCCTGCATATTTTCTTTCAAGTACGTACATTGACGCCCGGGCTCAGTTTTCCCGGGCTCAGTGCAGTGAGGGTTCTCTTAACGATGCCAAATGTTTATTGAGGTCTTGAATTTTAGAAAAGCTCTGTCAGATTTTTCTAGGATTATGCTTAATTGTTGAGTAAAAGGAATAGAACAGTATTTTAAAGTCCTAAAGGTTTTTATTTTTAGTACTCGAAATACTTTAAATATTTATATGGTTTTATCATGGTAAACCCTACTGTATTTGTATAATAATGCAAATAACGAGGGCAAATTCTAGAATATATTGATGATAAAGTTGGAAACTAGTTCGCTTTGGGTAAATATCAATATTTGCAGGTCTTATCTTATCAAGGGTTCAAAGAATCATCTCTGTTAATCCCTATTTTTAAGGGTTATCGAGACCAAAAAGTTCCTTAAACATATTTCTTAAATATAAGTTGGTTTTGGCTTTAATTTTAACGAATCTCCACTGTAATTGCTTGCTGATTTTCCCCACTATAAACTTGTTTTAAAAGAAATGTAAGGCTTAATGGATTAAATAACAATAATGTTGGTGCTAGCAATGTCTCACTGTAGCTGTGACTCGCTGCTTATTAACCATGTCAATCATTATTCGAAGCTGTTGTGGACCTTCCTGCAAAATCTGGTTTTTGTGTGACTCAAATCTCATTGTCATTATTTTGTTGCTTTTGTTATTATTATAATTTTGTGTACTATTCTTCTTGTTTATTTTTATATGATTTATGTTTTGTGACGTTGTGACGCCGCTGCTGTTGCTGCCAAAAAAAATATATATATATTTCCATCTAAAATCAACGAACTGCTCTTTGTATATGTCTGTCTGTCTGCCGGCTAAATAAAATAAAATAAATAAAACATACACCTCGACGCTGCTGCTGCTGCTGCTGATGAATCAAATGCATTGTTAATATAAAAATCACGACAACAAAACGAAATAAAACACGCACCCAACAACAACAACACCACAACCACCAACACTTCACCAACAACGACACACTTGCATGCACAGTGGAAATATATTCGTTATTGTTTTGTTAACCAACCAAAAAAAAAACCGAAACGAAAAATCAAAGTCAGCTAAGTACAAGTACTCTAAATTCAAATTCAAATAAAGCTGGGCAAACAAAAAAGATTTAAATAAGCTAAAAACAAAAGCATATAAAGAGCAAACATGCCACAGTCCGAGGGCGGCTATGTATCGCTGCCGGCCGTCAATGGCAATGGCAGTGCCATCTATCAGTCTACCACAGAGCCCACGGCCCCGCCTTCGGTCTTTGAGAGCATGAAGCGGGCGCTTGGCCAGGCCATCAAGTCCTCGCCAAATGACAGCGAGGAGCTGCTCCGCACGGAGCGCCAGCCGGTCATCGTTGGCGTTGGCGCCAGGTAAGTTATCCCAGTTCCCAGGTGAGGGGATCCCTACTCTTCGCTGCGCGACGGTGAGCCCTCCGCCAATCACTCTTAATAATCACCATTGCCGGAACACAAGGCCCTCCTTCTGAACTACTCGTACCATTTGCCCCCTTTTTAGCACGTTCACCACCGCCCAATCACCAATTGACCCACTCTTTTCCTTTTTCTACACAGAGAACAAAAAGACACAGAAAGTCCTAATAAAATAGAGAGATATTTATGATTCCTTTAACGATTTTTGATAGGTTGTTTTTGATATAGTTAATATTTTCAGAAGGTTTGATATCTGAATTAATTGTATTTTCAAAGGTTTTTACTTGTTTTTTTTTACAAATGATTCTATTCTAAGTTGTCCAAAAATGAAGGAAACGGAACTTTAATACTGATTAATTGAATTATAACAGACATAATAATTATCTAGATAGTTTAGTATTTATTAACAAATCCTGACAACTAAAGTCTTTAATATTCCTAAACAATCCATCGCAAAGGATTGTAAAAGATTATAAATGATCTTAAATCTTAAATATCTCCTGCCAAAAGATACATTTCCCAAAGCAAATATTTTATTTCAAGTGTACTATCTTAAGGCTATAAAATATATAAATATAAGAAACCAAAGTTCCCTCCTGTAAGCAAGTTTTATAACACCTAATTCTCTGTGTAGCTCACTTAAATACCGAACATCAAAGCTCCTCTGCTGCCCTTAGCCACAACGCCGCTTTTCCTACCCCCAAATCCCCTTTTGAGGCTTAATTGCGATTGCATGTCTATCCGAAATGTTTGTTTTTTTTTCCCGTTGCTTTTCTTGCCTTTGATTGTGGTTGTTGTGAGCTTCTCTTTTTTTAGTTACATTTTTCTGTTCGTTTTATTTCTTGACTTAAGGCACTTTGCATTTGATTTGATTTTGGCCACCAACAGAAGAAAGAATTATATGTATATTTGGTGTATATTTAAAGCCTCGCATTGTACACATTTCTCGCATTACATCATTCATTCAGCATTGAAAAATAAGTGAGCCAGCTTCCTAATTAGGGAAAGCGGAAAATTTTATAATTAAAAGAGAATTTTATAAAGAATTTTGGGATGGTTTTTAGCTTACTAGTGTCGATTTCAAGCTTCAAACATTATCTTTAGGAGCTATTAATAGTTATCATTGGCTTCTTAGCTAAACTCCTGAGGAACAATATTAAATCAACTCCTTTAATAACTTTTTAGGAGTTAGTAGAGCATTTAAAATTTGAAAAATTCCATTTCAAGACCTATTTAAGTATGCCCGATAAAGTTAACTGAACTTATCTTATAATTACTTAATTAATTAAGTTATAAAAACCCAATAAATAGAGCATTTACATAGAGTGTAGACCCCAAAAAGCAGGAAATGTGACTTCTTTTCTGGTTAGCCATGACTCAAGGTCACCCTGCAGTTTGCAGTTTTTGCAGTTTTGTCAATACAACAAGCCCCGCCGAGAGCAGAGCAAACAGATTTCAGAAAATAAAACTAGAACTAAAAGCTGAGTCTCTCAGGTCGTTATAGTTCAGTTTAGTTTAGTTAGTTGGTCGCCGGCTGCGACCCACATTCGTTCCATTTTTGCGTCCACTCTTGGAAATAATTCATACGATCTCTCAAGTGGTTTTAATTAATATTTCCGCACAGACACCGGACTGACATTGTTCGTAAGTGAGATGCCTTCTGCCCTGTGATTTAGTCCAATTAATATTTGCCTCGTAAATGGAGTGTACATATATAAGTAATATTCCCGACTCCATATCGCACTTAATGTTTACAGTCTTTGCTGTTCGTCGGTGCATTGCACTTACTTATTTCTTAAGCCTGGAGTTTTCTGATATATACCGGTTTTAGCTGGGAATTCTCAGTTATTGCTGGGGAATTCAAAGAAAGCAAAAGAAACCTTAAGCAAGCAAACATCTGATTACCAGAAGTCCCTCAGCGCAAGCTTCTACATTTCATATAAGTATTTTTACTTTTTATTTCGCCAAGGGGCTCATGTGCGTGCTCTGTTCCAGAAATTGATTGTTTAGATTAATAATGGATTTATGGGGAAATGTTGAAGGTCTGTAATTAGTTAGCTTAATGTGTGTGTGTCTCTCTTAGCAATTAAGGTTTAAGGTTTGCCAAGTAAAATGGATTTTAAATGACTGAAAGCTGCTTAAAGTTTTCTTTGTTGAAGAAGAGATGAGTGTTTTTCAAAGCAGTCTTGATGCTTTAATCTTTAGAAAACCTAAAATAATGAAGCTTAATTCTAATGTTATATTTTAATAGATAGATAGTTAGATAATAGTAGATATACCTTTTATTAGCTTTCCAAGCCTTCTTCTAAAGATTTCCACCTAGATAAAGATATTTTTAGTGGCTTTATGTTCACACCTTATCAAAGTACTATACATTCCCGGGTTAAATAATCATTTTCAAGAGTTTCCCTTAACAGAGCATAAATTTTTCTCGTGTCATAAGCAGGATCCTGTGCAATTACTCCCCTTGGGATGCTTACAGGCCCAATCACGTAACCAATTAAAGGTGATAATGAAAAAAGCCATGACCCTCTCTATACATATATCTTGGTTTAGCTGTTAGCTCGAGGATAATGAACTCTCATCCCTTACCTGGGCCGAGTTGCTGGCTCCCACACCTCCGGCATTAACTAATTGAGTTCGGTCCCAGCAGTAAAAGTTTCTTTTTTTTTTGTTAGCTCAAGAAGAGCGAGCGAGAGACGGTAAACAAAAGTTTTCCACGCTTTTCCTGTGTGTGTGTTTTTTAGAGGGGGTGGCAAGGGGGCCGGAAGACCGTGGAAAGGAAAGTCAAATTAGTATGCCAGCTGGTCTCATTTTGTTGGCGCCACTTGTTTGTTTGTCGCTTGCCATTTTCATACATCGCGCTTACATTCATCCATCGACATTTACCCCGAATGACATTGCGTGACTCATTCGCTTACGTTTTACGTAAGGAGCACCAGCGAGACCTTGGCGAGAATTCACCCACCCACTTCATCCAGCCGGCGAACGCTCCTTCTCTCTTTTCTTTCTCTGTGCCTGTTTCTCTGTCGTCTGTGTTACTCTCTCTCTCCAGAACCCGACCTGTAAAAATACTTTTTAAGATCTCCAATTTCACAAAATAAAAATTCCAAAAAATATATAAGACATATATAAACAAGGGTGAAAGTTTTTAGCCGATTTGTAACAGAGTCAGCCAGAAACTTGCCTCGATTTTTGTGTTCCTTTTGGTTATTCTTTGCTTGCATGCTCATAGAATCTCTTTCAGAGACCGCGACAAATCCGGTAAGACACTGACCACCAAGATGCCGTCAGCACCAACACACACTGCCGAGGAGGCACACCTGCTGGGGTAAGCCAAAAAAGACTAGAACCCGAAACTAGCGAATAAAACAGCCAGGGAATTGTGTGATTAGGCCCCCAAACCCCCCTCAATCCGAATTTTGTAACCCCTCGAATATGTAAGATAAAATGCAATACACACACTAAATACACTATAATTAATATATATAATATATATACACACACCCCACAACAGACAACAACGTCTAGAGTTTTCGTTTCGTTTTGATTTATCTTTATTATCCTATGTTTATACCCCTTTTGTTTATTAACTTTTCACATAGCATTTGATTTACGAGACAACCATTAGTTTGTAAGCAAGTACTTGCCTAGATTTGAGTTTGATATAACAACTAAAACCCTGTAACAGCATCCCTAAGCCCAAGTATCTCTCCGAATGTTGATTAACCAATCGTTTGATTATCCTTATGTCTTGATTTCTTTGAGTTTTGCATACAACATGAACCATAAACTAGAGAGTAGTCGAGCAGCGAGATCAACTCATGCCTGCAATACTTATATATATATATGCCCTTCGATCAAGTAGTCCTAGAGCCTCTAGAGGAGTTCCCCGAATAACCAGGACACACGAACACACTCTAAAAACTCACAGGATGCCAGTGTCTATGAACAGCTGACTCTGCTGCCGCCGCCGCTGCCACTGCTGCTAAAGAAGAACCTTAACCTTGACTTTTAAACTAATTAAAGTGTTTTACTTCTGCAGCACTATGCCCGTTGATCCCATGGATGACATCGAACTGCGCTCTGTGCAGCTGCAATTCCCCAATGCCCGCGGCTCCATTCTGGAGGCCTGCGAACAGCGACGTGTGCCCACAGACAAGGGCGATGTCCATGTGGCCATACAGGGCGATACGGCCAAGCCGGCCATTGTTACCTACCACGATTTGGGCCTCAACTGTGAGTAGATACTCCTTAGTTCCCCATAAAAAATAAACAAACCCTTTTGGTTTTATCTTTTAGATGCCACCAGCTTTGCTGGCTTCTTCAACTTTCCAGTGATGCGAGGCTTGCTGGAGAACTTTTGTGTTTACCATGTGACAGCTCCTGGGCAGGAAGAGGGTGCTCCCACTTTGCCAGAGGAGTAAGAAATAATCTTTTATTAATCTGTAATACATTTCTAACTGGAATGATGTATATCCATTTAGCTACGTATATCCTACCATGGATGATCTGGCCGCCCAGCTGCTTTTCGTGCTCTCACACTTTGGCTTGAAGTCGGTGATTGGCTTTGGTGTGGGCGCTGGCGCCAATATTCTGGCACGTTTCGCCCATGCCCATCCGGACAAGGTGGGCGCTCTGTGCCTGATCAACTGCGTGTCCACGCAGTCGGGCTGGATCGAGTGGGGTTATCAGAGCTTCAATGCCCGCTTCTTGCGCACCAAGGGCATGACACAGGGCGTTATCGATTACCTAATGTGGCATCACTTTGGCCGCAATCCGGAGGAGCGTAATCATGACTTGGTGCAGATGTACAAGCAGCACTTTGAGCGAGGCGTTAATCCGACCAACCTGGCCATGCTTATCAATGCGTACATTCATCGCAATGACCTCCATTTGGCGCGCACTCCACCGGGCACTCCGGGCACCGAGACGGCGGCCACCACACTGAAGATGCCGGTGATTAATATCACGGGTTCGCTGTCACCGCATGTGGAGGATACAGTGACCTTCAATGGCCGCCTGGATCCCACAAACTCATCGTGGATGAAGGTTCTTAGAGAGTTTATATTGGATTTTTAGTTGCGGTTGGAATAATGAAAACTAGGCTTTCGGTTAATATTATTTCAACCGCAACTATATATAAAATCCCCTTGATTTCCCCTAAATTTTAATAACATTTCCTTTATTTTGACAGATTTCCGATTGCGCTTTGGTGCTGGAGGAGCAGCCGGCCAAGCTGGCCGAAGCCTTCCGGCTCTTCTTGCAGGGCGAGGGCTACGGTAAGTGTTAGAACACCGCACACACCAACCACCAACTACCACCACCAACAACCACCACAACAACAACAACCAGAAACAACTAGAACAACAGCAACATTCAACTGCTACAACTGAACAACCTCAGCAATCTCTGCTACAATCTCAACTCAATCTACTTACTACTCTGTACCCCCACTCTATCTAAACCCTCTATTAACCCACAACAACTACTACTTAACCTAACCTAACCACCTTAGCCAAGTTCTTCAGACCCGACGACTGGGACAGTGTTCAGTCTAGCAGTTTTTTGCATACAAAAGTCACTATGGAGTAAGATCCCCTCCTTCATAGCTTCAGTTCAGTTCAGTTCCTCCTAGACCTTAAATACTTTCTATATAGAGACACTCAAGATATATATATACACGACGACGCACACATGCGATCCCTAAACCTAATCTTAGCCTGAAGCGAGTATCTTTTTGAGAATCAAAAGCTTTTTGAGATGCAATGAAACGAAACCAAAAAAACTGAGAATTGATTGTGCAAAATTCTATATTTATAAATTGGCTAATTATACAAAAACAAAAAAAAAAGAAGAAAAAAAAAAACAAACAAAAAATTAAAAATAAATTGAAATTCGTTCAAATTTATGTTGAAAAAACCCAAGTATTTGTACGCAAACAAAAGTATTTCAAAATAAAAATCGAAAAGTTGTTGAAAATCAAGCGTTTACTTTCTATATACATATATATTATCCATTTCCCAACAAAGCCCCCTTTTACTCCCTAAAAATAGTTAGGAATAAAAACACAAAAATGCATTTTCGCATCCACAACGACAACAACAAAACAAGAAAAGATATTTCAAGATGTTCATTACTTTGTTTTTCATTTCTTTTTCCTTTCTCCAAAACTGCTTGTTTTTGCTAAACCAACATACAAAAAAAAAAAAAAAAAAAAAAAAATCAAAATAAAAAAAATTTAAAAAATGCCAAAAAACAACCAAACAACACGCAACACAAATCCAAATGAAAAAAAAATATACAAACAAAAAACTACCACACGAAATTGCAACTTCAATCGATGATTCTCAAATCCCCGCACCGTCATAACCCCCATAAAAAACCATAACTTCTCACATGCAACCTTCCATTCAAATTCATGGCCATTATCCATTATCCAATTCAATTCAATCAACTTCACTCCATCGACCTGGTTTCTGCTGCATTAACCTACGACTTTCTCCTTCGTTCTCTTCAATTCTCTTCTAATTCTGGATTTTCTTTTCGTTTCGAAATTGGTTTTCTAATTCCAATTCCCCTAACAAAAAAAATTAAATCAACAAATGTAACCGTTAACTAATGCAACTTCGCGTTCTCTCTATATAATTTCAACAACAAAAATAAATATAATAATCGTGTGTATATGGTATGTATATTTGTACACACACACACTCCAAACACACACATAAATATTTGGCACCTGTGATCGTAGTGTCCGAAAAACCTCAGTAGGAAGATCTGCCACCTGAAGCAGCCGTAAAATACCCAACATAAAATTGCAACAAACAAAAAAGAAACCCAAAAATCTCTAGTTGGAATGCATTTAGCTAATTAATTAATACAATAATTCAAATTAACATTCGTATATATACAGATATATAGGCAAAGTAGAGCTTAGACAAAACTACACATGAAATACACCAGCACACAGAGCTAGTGAGAGTACTTTATAGGTTTTAAGGTGTTGAAAAACTATTTATGATTAAATATAATGGAAATACATCCCTATAAATATAGGTAACACTTAAAAAACTAAATTTCTTAAGACTATTTAATATTTTTCTTTAATTATATAGTTCTCTAAAAATATTCCTATAGTATTTCAATAATTCCAACACCTTAAAACCCATGATTTACACTCGCCTGCTTACACGTAGTTTGCTTGTTTGAATACAGTGCGCCCTCGGTAGCTTAGAACTTTATGCTCTTTCTAAGCTTTTCCAACGCTCTTTAATTTTCCACTTCACCTAAAAAACCACGCTATCCACACACACACACCCACCCACATCCACAAGACTTTTGTTTCGAAAAACTCTTTAATTTATTTGACCTTTCATTTGTTTTATTTATTTACACGCAAAATGAAAACAAAAAATATACAACAACTACAACTATTACGACAACAATCACCAACAATTTCAACAACAACAAATTTTCGAAAACCCCCCAAAAAAAAAAAGCTGTTGGCACACTGCAAAAGTTGGCGCGCAAAATCTCAACGGCCAGTCGGAGCAGTTCCACGCAAATTGAGCTCAGTGTGCAGTGAAAGCCGCCGACAGAGCGTAAACGAGAGCGAATGTAGAGAGCAGCGACACTGGCAGCAGCAGAAGCAGCAGCAACGGCACAGCCCCCCCTAAATTCTGTAGGAGCGCCGAGTGAGAGCAAGAGCTATTGGATAATCACCCCCCAAATAAAACCCACCTCCCCAAAACAAAAACAAAAAACCAAAACTAGAAAAAAAAAACCACTCGAAAAAAAAATCATAAGGGTTTTACATCAAGTTGGCGCTTTGCTTTTCCATATGGGCAAAACTCTCGCTTCGGTTTCTCCACTTCTGTGATTTCCTTTGAAATTTATTTTGTTGCTCTTTTGTTTTATGTTTTAATCAGCCGTTTTTTGTAATTAATACGAATTTTAGTTTGTAAGCTAAGGGAAAAGAAAAAACAAGCAGCAGCAAAATTTAGTTTCCATTTCGTTTGTTGTCTACATGCATATTAAAATAATAATAAAAACGTATTGCTTATATGTATGTTAAATAATTGCCTATCGTTTTTCACCCGTTTTCACCCTTTGCAAGGGGTAAACATCACTGTAAACGCTACAAAATTGATAAGGATTGACCATATTTTGGATATGCATTTGGTTTTTGTAAAAAAAGAAGTATTTTAAAATTTAGCTAGAGAGATTAATAGGTGATTTTAAAATTATTCCGACTTGAATGAACTGGTTTTTTAAACTTTTTAAATATCTTAGGAAAATGGAATGCAGAATACACTTTGTCTCGAAATTGCTAATGACCAAAATATATCTAACTTTTTAAAGATCTTTCTATTTCTATTATCTGAATATTAAGCATTTCAAAAACCGTGCTTTTTCCAACATCTACAGTGTTGTTAACCCTTTCAATTCGGGACTGTACTTTGCAAATTTCGCTGCTTTTTCACCCACACCGACACAACGCTTAAGTATATGGAAGCAATAAGTTTATACACACTCTTTATACAAATATACATACATGACAACGCTATTATATACATATGACATACACTAATCATACGCAAAGTCAACAAACAATGAAAATATAAACATAATGAACAACAAAAAATATAAAAAATTAAAACGAAAATTGAAAGTGTAAGCTTTTGTTGTATATTTGAGAATTCTAAATAAAACGAACAACGTGAATTTCGAATTTCGTATCGGTACGGCATCAGAGGGAAACAGAGCTATGTAGCTTTGCGGTTTTGTCGCGTCGTCTCTTTCCCACAGCAGCAACATGTCCACCGGCAGCAGCATCTCCGATATCAACACCAGCAACAGGTGGCGTCCCATCAACAACATCCGCATGATACATCCAAGCAGCCGCTCATCAGTATTCTCTCATCGCAATTTCATCGCAGATCTCAGCTCAGCTTGCTCCTCTCCTCCCCCATCCATCTTGTCCATCTCAACTAGAACAACAACAACTACAAGAATAATATGAATAATAAAAATAATAGTAATAACAGCAGCAGCAGCAGATTCTCGCCGCCGCTTTCATCTCGAATCATGCTAAATGCACCAGACACTCTACACATAACGAGACAGCTCTGTGGTCTAAAGAATGGTTGTAATATTTATTAAAACACCTGTGTATATTCCAACTAGAAGGAACAAAATAGATTATGTAGATTAGTTTTGAATCTTTGAAGGCCTAAAAATAAGGTTATTTAAAAAAGGATTAGCTTTAAAAAACGCAAGAAAAGAGAATTTATGTATAAAAGGTTGAATATAATTTTAAAATAATTTAGAAATTAATATTAAAAAGATTTTAAGATCATTTAAATAGCTCTACAAATTCTCTATTCCAACAGTTTTTTTTTGTTGTGTAACGAATTTTAACTTAGAACTTCCTTAAATTCAGCTTTGGTTGTTTTACAGCTTAGATTTCAGCATCCTTTCGCTTTTTTCAACTATTCCAAAACTTCAACTACATTTATTTAGACCACATCTGTCAACAACACACACAGACACCGTACACCAACAACACAAAACATTTCGAAAACAGCAGCCAAGCCTTTTAGAAAGTGTATAAAGAAAAAAACACCCATCAAGAACAACCAACAACTTACATGTTCTCAAGTAACATAACGTAAATAACAAAAGCCAAACTACTACTACCTTCCCCCAACAACCGACAATCAACAACCAACAACAACCTACAACAACCACCTATAAAAATAAAACTGCCACAGCAACGCCGCTGTCAACGCCAGCGAGTTCGCCCTGCGGCACCAAATACCACACGTACTCCTCGATCTTCTTCGCCAACTTCCGGGAGCAGCAGCAACAGGCGATGGAGGAGCGCGAACGGGAACGGGAGCGGGATCGTCAGCGGCAGTTGAGCCTACGGGTGGGCAATCGCCTAAGGGAGACGGCCATTAATTGCACCAACACGGGTGGCCATCAGCAGGGGGACAATAACAATGCGGACGAGCATAGCGGCGACGAGGAGGAGGATATGGATCTGGAGAACGGAAATGGAAATGGACATGCCGCCGGAAGCGGAAATGGCAACCGTGCCTACGTGACCACGGACACATCTGGCACGCTCTACTATGGCGCCCAGAGCAACAAGATACGCATCACCGAGAATCCACTGCCCGAGCCGGTCAGCTCTTAGATTGTGTTCCGGAGAGCCCAGCCACAGACACACACCTTGTTATTGTTGTTACCTTGCCACAAACACACACAACACACACACACGACATACACTGAGAATAATAAAGCAGCCGCCGCCAAGTCAAGCCAAGCTTTCAGCCGTGCTCCAAGAGACACAAAAGACACAATAAAATAATGAAAAGAAATTATAGAAAAATAACTAATTTACACACATACACCGCTAGAAAAATGAATGCAATAATAACCCAGCAGACAAAAACTTTGTAAAAAATATTAAAAACGGAAGTTTTACGGATCTCAAAACGTCCGATTTTAGGCTCAAGAACGACAAGACAGTAAATTACCTGTCCTGGGGTTTGTGGCATCAAAAGCTAACATTTTCGGAATCCGAATAAGATTTCGATTGCGGACCTTTTACGATATCATTATCGGTTAAAATCCTCAGAATTCGCGATACTCGTCCGCTATTCATCCGTTTGCCCGTCCGTTTTTGAGCATTTAGCGAAACTAATGCGAAAAATCAGAATCTTTGTCCGTTTTTAATATTTTTAACGGACATTTTCGGATCCATCCGCACTAAGTCCGCTGTTTGTCTGCTGGGAATTAACCACCAAAAAGAGAGCATCCGTTGATTGATTGTGTTTCCTCCTCTCCCTATGGTTTTGCGAGACGCGGAGAGATATATTTGTAATTTACACTTTGTGCCTGAGCGTAACGTAACGAACATACACATAATACTTAATATATATCAGCAGAGCAGCATTTCAGTTATTAAAATACCTTCTCCCCTACTCTATTTTTTTCAACACATATTTTATGACGAGCTTGCTTAGTTGTTGTAAAACGAACAATATACAATATATACTATATACTATACTATACAGATGTGTATACAAGCAACACGATAACGAAACTCAAAGATTACGAGCATTTTCGCTTAATGTTAAAACCTAAACCTAAACCCAAAACTGTTAACTTAATCCCAAAGAATAATGAAATTAAAAACAAAACAAAAAAAAATGTAGCATATCAAAATAACGAATGAAAATCTCTCAAAATTACGTATATACTTATACAAACCTAGATAAATCGTAGACAATTGCGAATTGCCAGCCCCGAAATTCAGTTCACAATGAATGAGTGACATTGTCACTGTCGCAGGAAATAAAAAGTACACAGAAACACACACACAGGATATGAATATAGAAGACATACATATATATATACTATCTATAAATAATGACAACTTTTTGCAATAACTTCGAATTCAATTCAATAAAAGTTTTAGAAGCTTGATGCGATTCGGTTGGGTTTTATAATTTATTATTAAGGGGAAAGCATTTCGCTGACCCTCCGCAGGGTCTCCTCTCGTTCCCGCCGCATCAGTTGGGTGACCTGTTCGAGAAACTGCTGCTGCTGGTCACGCTGTTGCCGCAGCTGGGCCTCGTTGGCGGACTTGATTTGGGCCAGCAGATGTTTCTGGCCCTCGATAATGGCCTTGAGAGATTCCAGGGGTGTGGGTTCCTTCTCCACGGCAGCATCATCGTAATCCTCATCGTAATCATCCCCACCAGCTCTTAACAGATCGCAGGTGGAGCTGGATTCCTCCTCGCTGTCACTCTCCGGCTGAAGCTTCACTGGTGATGGCTTGGGTAGGGATGACTTAAGCGGTCGCAGGGGCCTTTGGCTGACCCGCTTCCTGTTTTCCCGCGGCGGCGTCCCTGTAATCTCATCGAAGAGCTTAAAGTGCCGTGGCAGTATCCGGACATTGTCTAGGCCATGCTCCTTGGCCTCGCGATGCCGTTTGAATAGCAATCTTAGCTTGTTCCTCAACTGGTGGGGCGTCCTTTTGATGGCCTGCTTGGCCAGGATATTGGAAATGTGTACCAGGGTCTGGAAATTACGCTTCCGTGAGCCGTCCAAAGCGCGAAAGAAACCATTGTCCCGGATGATGAGCAAAAAAGCATCCACCTCTTCGTCGGTCCAAAAATGAGCTGTGAATTTAATTAAAATTTAATTTCATTTGGAAACTTGATTACTTGCGTTAAGTACTTCCGCTTCTCTGCGAAACATCGCCCTCCTCGTCATCGCTGTCATTGAAGTCGCTGCCCTCGCTGGCACTGCTGACATTGGCCTCTGCCTCCGCGGCCGCCGCTTCCTCCTCGGTGGGATCCAGGACCTGACGCATGGCCTCAAAATGCTCGAAGGTATCTCCCGTGCCGTTCTTGACCTTATTATACATCCGTCGCAGCAGCTGGAACTTGATGCGCAGCTTGTCGGCACCCTTGTTACTGTTCCGCTTGGCCATCTCCTTGGCCAGCAGCCTGAAGACCTTGGCATTCCGTTTCCGCAGCAGCGCCGACCGGAGACCCAATGTGTGGATTAGGTCGAAGAGGAGATCCACCTCGCCCTCGGTCCATTTGCAGCGGGCGTTGGTGTGAATCGATGAGGAAGAGGCTTCTAAAGTGTCTGTAGATATATAAATATGGGGAAAGTTTTATAAATTAAACAAATAAAATATCTATTTTTTAAAAAGAAATCAAAATATATGTAACTTTTAATAAATAAATGTATAAATTCATTTAATATTTTCTTAAATTGTCACTTATTAAGTTTCGTGCCTTAAAGTTGCATTCGTTACTGCAGTTTTGCATTGTTGAGGTTTTTCCCCGTAGTATGATTACATGGGAATAAAGAGTATATATGGGAGATAAGGCCTTAATAACCTATAGGGTTGATGATGAAACGCAGCTAGTTTAATGCAACGCTGAATAGATAAATTAGTTACAAACTTTAAATGAGAATTCTGATTACGTGTTTGGTCAGGTGCTTTCAGTTGCCCCAGAGAACTTTGTTAATAAGTTAGTTATACAACTAACTAGTTCTCCTAAAATCAAACTAAAAATATAATAAAAAGTTATGGCACAGCTACCCGTAACCTATAGCGCGGAGGAAAGAATTTGGAGTGGTCTTCCCGTAGCCTGCAGAACTAAGGATGTTCCCTCTTTGGGTGAAATTATATTCAACAATATGAAAAAGTGCGGCCAGAACGTTTGTCAAGTGAGTTGAATACGAAATAAAGACAAATTAAATTATATATAATCGTATTCAGATATGGGATGATGAAGATGTGATAGTGACCTTTGATCAGGCGCTCTCTTGGGCCATTCGGCTGGCAGAGTTCTTCAAGAAGCGTGGCCTAGGCCACAAGGAAGTCATTGGTATATCAGCAGAAAACTCCAAGTATTTGCTGTCCCTAGGGGTGGCCTGTCTGATGAATGGAACCCCATTTCACTCGCTTAATCCTGTGCTGGATAGAGGTAAGTCTCATTTACACAATCTATTATATATTTTATTTCTAAAATATTCCTAATAATAGACACCCATCAACAACTCTTCATGCTAACCAAGCCTTTGCTGGTTTTTTGCGATGGAAAAATCTATGAAAAAATATACAAGGCCACATTTGAATGGCAACCAGAGATATATATTCTCACCGATCAAGTTGAAGGAGTGCCTAGCATAGAACTACTGCTGGAACCTACCACGACTGAGGAGTTTTACAAGTAAGTAAAAGCAATATCAGCCTAAATCTAAAGCTAACCGTTAAACTCTCTAGACCGGAACCCCTGAAGGAAGGCGGCGATCAAACTGTGGCCATACTCTGCTCTTCAGGAACAACTGGTCTGCCCAAGGCTGTCTGCATTTCCAATAGAAGTCTTCTACCCACACCGTCAGCCTTGTTGAACAGCGATTCCGTTGGCTTTTCCTATGCTGCCCTCGACTGGATCTCGGGCGTGGCAAGTTTTATTTCCCACACAGCCTTTGGCTTTACACGAATCTTGAGCAGAACTCTAGTCACTCCTGAGTATCTTGTGCAGCTCGTGGAAAAGTACAAGATAAGCACCATTGTACTTGCGCCATTCCGCCTGTCTGCCCTGATCAATTGTCCAGCGGCCAGCTCAGAGTCCTTGGCCTCTCTGCGCTGTGTTTTCTGCAGCGGTGGCATTGTTTCCGGGGCTTCACTTCAGCGATGCCAGAAGCTCTGCAAGAATGCCACCTTCAGTCAGATTTATGCCTTGACTGAAGCGGGTAATATATCTATGGCTCTGAGCACCGAGAATGGTAATTCGGTGGGCAGGCCACTGCCGGGTGTTAAAATTCGCATTGTAAGCGAGGAAGGTGAGAACCTGAAGCACAACCAGGTGGGAGAGATCTATGCACACACTGAGTTGGTTTGGCGAGGTTATTACGGGAATCCAGAAGAATCTCTACGCTTTAGGGACTCTGAGGGTTGGTTTCATACAGGAGATCTGGGTTACTTTGATGACCAGAACCTACTCTACATAGTTGACCGTTGCAAGGACACCCTCAAATACCAGGGGCAGCACTACTGGCCAGGTGAGATTGAACAGGTTATATTGGAGCTCTGCCAAGTTCAGCATGTTTGTGTGGTGGGAATCTACGACGAGAAAGTGGGTGACGAGGCGGGTGCCCTAGTTGTAAAGAGAAAGGGGTTACCCTTACAGGCAGAGGAGATTGTGGATCATGTGGCCCAGCGTTTGCCCAAGTTCAAGCAACTCCATGCCGGAGTGCAGTTTGCCGACGAAATGCCAGTGAATCAAAATGGAAAAATCTTAAAAAAGGCAGCTCGCGAAATATTTTTGGCCAAACGAAAACTAATTTAGATTCTTAATAGAATATAAATAAATCTTGGAGTCACTCCTACCTTCTCCTTCGCTTTCCGTGGCCAGATCCTCTTCCGCCTCCGCATCACTCTCACTCTCCAGCTCTGCCTCAAAATCTGAGCCCTCATTTCCCTGTAGAAGATCGTGGACTTGTGCAAAATGCTCGAAGGATTCGCCGCCGTTCCTGGCCCGGGCATACTGACGCCTCAGCTGGTGGTACTTGATCCTCAGTTGCTTGGGACTCTTGGGACAGTTGCGCTTGGTCATCTCCCGGGCAATCACCTTGAAGACCTTGGCATTGCGCGTCTTCCTCAAAGGAGTTTGCAGTTTCAGTTGGTTGATGATGGCAAAGAAGGACTCCACCTCCTCCTCGCTCCACCGGCAGCGGTTGGCTTTCCCGGGACTGTTGTCCACGCTCGTGTGGTTCGAGTTTCCTAGATCTATTTTGGGATGGGAAGAGACTTTAGTTTTGGGCTGGTTTCAGGGGGAATTTCACATACACTCGGAGTACTTTTGCTCCAGTTCATTGTCGTCCATCATCTCTGAGTATTTCTTTCAGTTCCAAGGAAGCAGGTTTAATACTTTAAATGTTAAAAAAAGTAAACTAACATTTATTTGTTGACTTTAAAACCGGTTTGGCGTTATGGCGTTCTTTGCAAAAAACCGGCTATAAAGTCTGGTCACATTGTAGGACAGCTGATTTAATTTAACATTCTACATGAGCATTTGACACTGTTGTTCTGTAAACGTGTAAAATTAGTTTTGACATTTTAACATGAACGTTTTCTCTTGCTAAATATTAATTATATGCATACTAATTATAAATATAAACTAAATAAATATAATAAAATTCAAGAATTTAAAGAAAATGAAGGTAAATTTTTTAAAATTAAATTAAATAGTATTTCATTGTCGATTTTCCCGAAATAAAGAGGAATAGGTATAGCATTTGATAAAAAATATATTTAAATTTAATTAGTCTATATTCAAATTAAAAATTTTTTACGTTTTCTCTTTTTTTTAATATTTTTTAATTTAAATTTAAAATTAAATTTAAATAAATTATTTTCAAGTTTCTTTAGCTGTTAATTTTGGGTAATCCAGCTATTTTGCTCAGAAAAATAAAATATATATATCTTCTTTAAATTGAAAAACTAATTTTATTTAAAATTTTTAAATCAAAAAACTATTTAACTAAGAAAAAAGTATAAATACCATTAAAATTGCTTAAATAAAATAATAAATAAATAATATTTTTTTTTAAGTCGTTTTAATTTAAATTTAAATAAAATCTTTGCCATTCATTTTTGTTTTATTTGTTTAAGCGCTTAAAAATGTAGCATTCGAAATAAGAGAATTTTGTATATACATATTTTTATTTTTAATTTAAAAGATAATAATTGATTGGTATCAAAGTTTTTAAAATTTCTCTAAGAAAATGTTAAATTTGGTCGTAAAATTAACCAAAAGTATTTAAAATTATTAACTAAATTGCTAGAGTGCCCGCACTGATAGTCGCCACTCGAGAGAGAATTACTCTCAAACTCTCCCACTTTCCACTCTCGGCTCCCAAAAGACCCATTCGGCAGCCTTCGGCTCGGTTCGGGTTTCCAAAAACCTATAAATACAAGTGCAAGCGGGCCATTTGAAAAAAAATTCAGAATTAAAGCCAGTTTTCCAGCGCCGTGTCGGTTTCGATCGGAAAAACATCGGTTTCGCATACGAAAAGTCGCCGGGAAATTAAGTCGCACTATTATATGGAAATATCTTAATATTTCCCTCGATTAATTGTTCACTAAACGAAAAGGCTGAGGCAAAACAAGAAATTTAAATAGAATTACAACCATTAATATTGGCAACAAGTGCGAGATTCCAAGGGAATCACAATAGTTTCTATTGTACAACAAAAGCAGAGCTTTTTGGCCAACACCGAGGTGTGTGTGTGCGCGAGCGCGTGTGTGCGAGTGTGTAGTGTAAGTGATCGCCCAGTTAGCTTGGCACTGGTTTTTTTTAGCCGCATTTGTTGCTGTTTTTTACGAGTATCTCTACGCCCCCGCGCGATCATTTTGCGTTATCTGTCTTTTTTGCACGCGAAAAAAGCAGGCAGACAGAGCTCGCGGGTCAAAGCACAAAAAAATAAATAAATCTACGAAAAGCCTGGCCAAAGTCTGGCTTTTTTCTAGTGAGATGGGGCAAGGAGGAGCGCCGGCCACGCTTCACTAGGCACCAGGCAGCCCACCCCCTAAAGCCAGCACCCCCTTGAAAAAAAATATATATATTCGCTGAAAGAAATAAACAAACAAATCTGTCGCGTTTCGCGATTCCCGTGTGTTTGTACAGTTGGTGAGGAAAATAAGCAAAGAAAATCGCATCGCATTTTGGGATTATCATCATGAGGATAATGCGAGCAACTCCATCGGTGGCGCTGATCCTCGTAATCTTGGCGGCCACAGCAGCCGCTAATGCCACATCGGTCAGCAAGTCCGGCTACGCGGATGATGGCTCCGCAGTAATGAAAGGTAAGCGCTTTTTTCTGGGTAAAGCAAACTGCCAACTGGCAGAAAGCAAATCAGAACTTATATTACTTATTATATCTCATATATCGAAGAGAGATTTTAAATGGAATTTCAGTTCCACTCGAACGGTGTAACTCGAATCTTTTATATTTATTTTTAAAGAATTTTTAATTTGAGTTGTGGGAACTTTAAAGGAAAAGAAAAATGAAATATAAAATAAACTACTAATTAAAATACAACATAAAAAACTTTTTAATATAAAATGTTATTGTTTAATAATTAGAATATGATGGTATTTATTTACAGCTTCTTTTTGGGGTCATAAGTTGACCTATAGAATCAAAATATATTCCCAACAGATTAGCATATAATTTATTGTTTTTAAATAAAATTGTTGTTATATGTTTTTTCCAAGTATTCCTCAAGCTGAACTCAAGTCTGTAAAGGTCACAAAAGTACTGATTAAATATATATTAAACCAGCGATTAGTATAAAAATCCTCAAAACAATGTATTCTATAAGTAAACAGGTTCATTATACGTTCTCATTATACAATTCCATTAGCTGTGATTTTTCTTTAAATTTCCAGAGAATAATTCATTTAAACAAAACAAAGTTTTTCACAAGAAAAATATAATTTATGGCAAATGGCCAAACTGACATTTTTAATTAAAACTAAAATACAAATTCAAGCTGTGAAAATAGCATTTTTCAAATTGTTTTGCTGGCTTTTCGCTTTAAAACTGACAAATAACTGTGCCAAGTTCTGCGTATCAGCCTAAGTTATTCGTATCTGCTGCAGATACAGATACTATAATACAGATACTTTACCAACAAGGTGCTGGATGGATGCTCTCGCATCATTCATGGATGCTGATTAACAAAAGGTGCTCCAGACAAAGATTGCCGGGGGTGGCAGTGATAAAAGGGATTCGATTCATTGGGTTCCCTTGTTGGCATTCCCTGGGAGGAAGTTGAGTTGCACAGCAGCAGCTATCTGTGTATCTCTTGATCCCTCCGCTTATCGTGCATCTGTTCAGTCTCAGTCTGAGATATGTCTTCAGCCTCAGAGATTCGTCTTCGTTCGTTCTGGTTTTAGGGAACAACAACAGGTTTCCCGGCCAGCGTGATTTCCCATGAGCAGTGCAAACACACACACACACACAAAGGCAGTCAGAGGCATAGGTGTACGTACCTTTTCTGCCTTTCTGCCTACCTGTTGTGAACCTGGAGCAGAGTTACCTGGCTGAGTTACCAGGTAGCGGCCAGTGGGCCCATTAAGCATCTCGAAATATGAATGAAGTACAGATACTCAGATACACAGATACACGGATTGCCTCGTTAAAAAGGACAACAACATTTGGCAGCCGAGATGCAGCGGTGTTTATTCAAGATTTTCACTTATATGGGGACTAGTCAGAGGGGGTTTTGGGGGGTTTAAGGAACTCTAAACATAAAGAAATAATTAAAAAATATTGATTACTTTAATTTTTACTCTGTGAGATATTTGCCAGGGAATCTCTTGAATAAGATACTTTGTGCTAATATAATTTACGTAAACTCAAGTCTTAAAGAACTAAACTCAATATTTGATTTGTAAACACTTACTTTACGAAATCCCCTCTTACTTACCTCTTGGATCCGCCCCTGATCCTCGGTCTTGGTTGCGAAAAACCAGTTTTTCTCTTAGTATTTTTTACGTCTTTCTTGCAAAAACAAACCCACATGCATGTCGATGTCTCCCCTCTGCGACCGAGTTATTGCTGGTTTTGTGTTTTGTTTTTGCCCAGACTTCCTACCACCTGCTCCCCTCTCCACCTCTCTCTCTCTTTCAGCCCGTCTTTGTCTTTTTTTTCACCAACTCTGTACGCATCTGAACCGTGAGATTTTATTTCATGCAAAAAAGCAAAAACCCAAACCCAAAGCAGCAAAAGGCAAAGAGACTGAAAAAAAAAGTAGAAGTACTATACTCGCTGCGCATGCGCACCACCGAGCAGTGAAGAGACAGAAATAGAGACAGAGAGGGGTAGAGTCGACCTGTGCAGGTGTTTCGCTCAAACTTGAGCACATTGCACGCTGCTGGCTGGAACAAGGAAACCAGCTTATAAATTATAAGTTCGGCTCGCTGCAGTTCCAGCCTTCTTGCCAAATCGGTTGCTGTTTAACTGCCCTCCTTAATGGGTATATTAACGGGGTTCAAAGGTTTGATTACCACGAATTTTCATGGCTAAAACTAGAAAGAAAAAATATTAAAAAAAATGAGAATATTTGGATTTTGTAGGGTGATTTTATGGGACTTCAAAAACAAAGACTTTATCAGTAAAAATTTGTTCAGGCTTAAATATATTCTGTAAAATATTTTTGAGGTACTTAAAATTCGTAAATTTGCTTTTAAATAAATATAATTACAAATCATTCTTATAATAGTATAAAAAAAATACATTAATAGGTATTTAAAAATTGAAAATTGAAATGGATGGATTCATCATATTTAAAGCTGCTTCAAATTAATTAAATCTAAAATAAATAATTCAAATAATAGTAAAATAAAACAAGTTTATAGCCATTACAATTAAAATATGAATTAATAGTTATTGTAAATAGTTTATTATTCATAAATTTATAGCTATAAAACCACATTCAAACCCTAGTTCATCCTTCGAGCTTTATTAAAATTTGTTTCCTAGGTCAACTTTTGTATTTTTATTACCAATTAAAAATTATATTAAACCCAAAACCACTTTTTTAAAGCTTAACCTTTGCTCATTTTCACAAGTCCAATGCAATTTTTGGTTTAACAATCTTCTTTTGCTTTTATGATTCACTTTTTTATAACCATTGCTGATAGTATTTATTGTCAAGTCAACCTGACTGGCCTAGAGTATGGCCACCTTCGGTCTTGGGAATACTACAATTTCTTGACTGGTTCACAGTCCTGTGGGAATTGTGCAATGCTAAATGTAACTGGCGATATATTAACATAAATAATGATCCTGTAAGATTCATTTGGGACTGTAAACTTGAACATATTATGGCCGCGATACCGATCAATGAACATGGCCAGCAGAGTGGTTCACTTTAAATTGATAATTGCCATTACTTCCCCGAATTGAAGCCGGTTTCAGCTTGGTGATATTGAAAGTATATTTTTGGAAGTG